ATTCTCCTGATGAACAGCAAATTCCGCTTTAAATAGAAAGAAGGAAGTTTTAGATGTCAATCAATGATCTCCTAAATGAGGACATCTTTTACCCAACCGGGTTTTCTTAGTGTCATTGGGTTAAACATTATGTAAGGGATGGGCTGTTCTTAGAATCAAGGTTTACTTTAAAGTTCTTTAACAACACAATGATTAAATGACAGAAAGACCTTGTGTGGCGTGGATATGTGTTACTGATATGTTTATTGTTTAATAATATTTTAACGTACAAACATCGAACGGCTGCCATACTTAACACAATGTATACATTTTCGTATTCTTCACGGATGGGGTTGTAGTCCAGTGTTCAAAGCTTGAAATTGATACCAGTGCGTTGCCGCCGTGATATAACGTGAATATAAATGAAGCTAAAACCGGCGTATCACTCACTCACTCACTCACTCACTTACTCACTGATTATGAATATAATATTGATAACTGCGACTCAACTCACTCACTCACTCATTCACTCACTCACTCAACCCACTCACTCACTCACTCACTCAACCCAGTCACTCACTCACTCACTCAGTCACTCACTGAATATGAATATTGATGACTGCGACTCAACCCAGTCACTCACTCACTCAGTCACTCACTCACTCACTCACTCAGTCACTCAGTCACTCACTCACTCAGGCACTCACTCACTCAATCACTCCGTCACTCACTCAATATGATTATTGATGACTGCGACTCACTCACTCTGAGGTTAGAAATTATGTATTGATTTTGGGTTTTATTTAATAAAAATATGAACGTCCTTGGTGCTTATGTAACAAAACGTCAACCTGTTCACATGAGCAGTGAGTGTGTTTGAGTGCGTGGGCCTATTTGCCAGGCAGCCCCAATATGACGGAAAAGCGACCCATATCTCTCCGTTCAGATTTCAAATACTCACGCTAGCAAAATATGTCCGGTTTCTTACACTAAACTTAAGACATCCTCGTGCACATTATTCATTAAACTGTACAGCGAGTTTGCGTCATCTTATCCTAATATTACCTTCGACCGCCTCCTGGTCTAGTGAAATAAAGACCTCCGTGGTCAAGTGGGTACGGCGTCTGCCGGGAGAGCAGAACGTCGGGGTTCGATCTCCAGCCGCGTCGTACCAAAAGACGTTAAAATATGGCACTTGTTACCCTGCCTGGCGCTTGGCATTAAGGGGATGCAAGGCTTGGTCGGCCCGGAGTCTGTATGCTGTGTTTCAGTGGGGCATCCATGTTAATTTGCGGTATGAGATCGCCTCGGGTGAGCACCAATACAACCAACATTTGTCCGGACTTGTACAAGCAGCCAAACTCGCACGCACGCACGCACGCACGAGCACAAAACACACACACACACATGCTACACGGGTTTTATCATCTTGAAAGCGTCATCAAACCCCAATTCACCTCTCCCACCGCGCACATTTCCCTCACTCAAAAACAAAAATCAAATTTTATAATTGATTGTTGAGCAACTGATTATTCAGTTTCCAATGTAGCTGTATTGTTGATTGTACGTGGTAACAATTTTATGCGGCGCTTATATAATGGCACGCGCTCTGATTGTCTATGGTGCTACTGCCATGACAGCCTGTGTTATATAGTGATGTGGGGTAAAAATGGGGTTTAACGTCGCGTCTAAGAACATTGCACTTACAGCGACGTGCATGTAGGTGTATGTTGGGCTGCTTGTACTCGTCCGGACTGATGCCGATTTATAGTGCTCGCTCACTGAGATACCATGCCGCAGTTTAACATGAGTACCCCGAGCAGACCAGTCCTTGTTTTAGCCCCTTGCCGAGCGCCAGACAAGTACCATTTTTTAACGTCGTTTGGTATGACGCGGCTGGGAATCGAACCCCGGATCTTCCGCCCTCAAGGCGGACGCTCAACCACTTGGTCACGGAGGCGGGCAAGTAATACAGTGACCTCTCTTAGTGTTTATAGTACACACTCCGTACCCTTGTTTGACATGTTCGTCACCCTCCCGGCATTGTGAGCTTGGTACTTCTGTGGGGGTTTCGGGTTCCAACAGGTCCCCAGCGATCTCTGTTACTGGTACGACGCCCTTACACCCATCGCTGATCTTACATGAAAGTAGACCGCCTCCGTGATCTAGTGGTAGAGCGTCCGCCCGGAGAGCGGAAGGTCCGAGTTCGATCCCCGACCGCGTCATACCAAAAGACGTTAATGATGGTACTTGTTGTTACCCTGTCTGGCGCTCGGCATTAAGGGGCTAAAATAAGGACTGGTCGGCTCGGAGTCAGTATAATGTGTCTGAGTGGGGTATTCATGTTAAACTGCGGCATGGTATATCAGTGGGCTAGCACTATAAATCGGCATCAGTCCGGCCTAGTACAAGCAGACACACACACACACACCATACCCGTGCTCGTGGGTTTCACCAAAGTGGTAAACGTCTGAGACCTGCATCTATTCGGGCTTTCCTCACACATTAAGCTGACACGTCGCGATATAACTGGAATACTGTTAAAAGCGGCGTTAAACCCAACTCACTCACTCACTAAAACCCATTTCACCTCAGCTTACATGAAAGTAAATTCAAGGCAGTGGGAAATTATGGATGGCTTTACAAATATCACTCAAGTCATGTTGTAAGTTTTGTGGATTGAAACGAGATGTTAACGGTAGCGTCAAAAAGAAATATCTATCACCGTCAACACATGCCAGCCGGTTTATATATGTGTGGCCCAGTGGTTAGCCTAAAGAGTCCTTGGTGTGAATCAAGCTCTGATTGTACTCTTTTACATTAAATTCGACCAAAGTGTTCTGATATTTTCTTCCCATTATCAGTATGAGTCTCTTTCAGTTCAACACAAATCAAAATTTCACAAGATTGTTAACACTGCAAGTAAAATGTCTTTCATCTTTATACGGGTAGCTAGTAGTAAGCCAAGCAGCCAAGTTATTACTGACTCAGCTAATTTCTTAAATCTTGAATACAAACGTTCCCCTTCGCGCCGCCGCTATCAAACTCACGTTGTGAAAACTAGAGCTCTTACATATATTTTACACACACCTCCAGACATTATATACAGGTTTATATTCATGATGCCATTGTAAATACTCGTTATCTGTTAGTTAAAAAATCACTCTTAAATGCATATAATGTTGCAAATAGTATCTCAATTTACATAATTTTAAGTTATTAAAAACAGGTTTATGCCGGGTGGTTCTTAAAATCATTTGCTGTCTTATACTTTTTAAAATAACTCTATTTCATTTCAGTGTCCCTATCTTTATATCTTATCATCTGTTTTGTGAACTTTATGTATCTATTTAATTCAAATATCCATCATAGTTCGTGTCTAATGTACGTACATTAAATGCTTTATGTATACTTGTTACGCGGCTTTTTGTCTAAATATTAATGTCATGATCTGTGATATATGTCAAATTCTGAAAACGTAATAAATTATAATTATTTTTATGTACAGAGTAAAATAAAAAGTGCAACAAAGAGGGATTGTGTGATCTTGGCACAGTCAGGCTGGTTAGGCTCATCATCAGCTCAGGGCCCTTGCCCCCTCTACACGCAGCCCACATAGCGAATGGGATTTCTCCCAGGAAGCGCTGCATAGTCAAACCCACCCAAAACTTTCCGGAGAATGTGAAGACTCCCCAAAAATCTGCATTACCCAGATTGTCAGAAGGGCTGTATTCCTGGTAGCAAACCCGGGCACTCTCCCAATGTCAGTCAACAGATTGGGAGGTACCAAACCTAAGGCACCGAGAACAATGGGGAGTCGGACAACTTGGTACTTGGGATGCAAGCGTGACATTTCGAAGGCGATGTTTGCATATTTACCATGTTTTTCCTGAACCTTGTCAATCACATTGGTGTCAAAAAGGAACGAAAATTCAATAATAAATGATTTCATTGGATTTATCAAAAAGGACAAGATCAGGTTTGTTGGCCTGAATACGTCTGAGGCTGTAAACGGGCCTATTCTAAAGGAAATTGTATTGATCATTTTCCATGACGCCCTCTACATATTCCGGGTCGTACCATGGATGGACCTCTACGTCATTGCGAAGACGGTAATAAAATAATCGAGCCACTCCATCATGTCGCTTAAGATACTGTGTTTGTGCCAAAGCTGGGCATCCAATGACAATGTGTTGGACAGTCTCATCAAATTCCTTACATAATCTACATTTCATATTTACATTTTGATGCAAAAGCATATTATTATTTTTTATTTTTTAATTATTATTATTATTATTATTATTATTATTATTATTATTATTATTATTTCCCGTTCGTCCCGCACCTAGTTTGGTTACAACAAACCCAATCAATTGTAAACCCATTATGTGTGGTATTTCTATGGGAGATTGGACCCTGGCTATTTGTACATGTACATATATATACACATCCATATGATTGTAGGTTTAACTTGCCAAGTCTACAGTATACATTAACATGGACTATTGAATATACAAATATGTAGGCTAATGCTGCATTCAAAAACTATTCCTTGCTTATATTGGATATTTATATTTTGTTGAAACTAGTTGCACCTACACTTACCTATGAACATTTGTGTCTCACTGATCTATTATGCACAAGCATTCTGATTGGCTGTTCACAAACTCGCCAAGCTGCCATTATATATTACTGTCGGTCTACTGGTTTAGAAGTATGCAGAGACACATATATCGAGCCTAAATCCTCAGACGAAAAGAAGTTAAATACAATTTAGTTTTATATAAATAAACGCTATGCGGTACAGGAGACTCAGACTAGCGTAGGTCCTATTGCCTTTGGTGTTTACACTGCACTCCGTCATGCGTAGTATACAGCCTTGACCTACTAGTATCTTATCCCGCTGCAGAAGGGAATAATAGCGCGGACCGTGGATATATACATATGTCAGCCCTTGCGCGGTGTCCTGAGGTCAGTATACACACAACGTAATATTATGTTGCCTCTGTGTGACATGTTGTACCCAAGACGGCCCATATACTGGACACGCTATTGTAACTGGACGATATCTATCGTGTAAATGCCAATACTTAAAAACAATGTAAAAGACATGGGCCATGCATGTGTGTGAGTTAATGTATAGTCTGACATCGTTAAGACTGTACACTTGCGTTGGATGACGGACAAAACGCAAGGTTGTGACGGGCTCAACACAGGGACAATATATACAATACGCGACTACACTTATTTGAGGTCATCCGTTCCAGTCAAGGCGTCTGGATCATTCCCGCGCACCCGCCTTGCGTGGGTAACGATCAACTACACGCATTCAGGTCAACGTACGCCTGTATTGACCCGTTTCACTGACTGTCTACCTCATAATGGATGTACGGGTGTCCTAAAGTAAACGTTCATTGTAGAAACCAAATCTGATGACCTGGATGTTTAAATGTGAACGCTTTAGCGTTGATTTCAAGTGCAGATACAATGTAGCTTTAGGTGGAATTGAATTTGAATTTCCAGGAATGACGTCACTGGGTTTTTCCAATGTATTATTAGTAACTGAGCTGTCGTTTCACTATGTCCATTGTTGTTAAATGAATGTAGGTGTACAAGTGATCTATTATCGCACTAGGCTAGATTGTCAGGTAATATCTGTTTTCTGGGTAACGCAGTGAATATAGGCTGTGGCTCTTACTTCTCTTTGTCTTGTAGCAGTAGGAAGTTTTATTGTTTTACTCTACTTCAGCTGGATGAAGAAGATGGAGAGACTACCGGGATCTATAAAATTAACAGGGATGTCTGGAGGGCAGGCTACTTACAGCAATGTGGCTGCGGTGGTTGAAGGGGGGATGGGAAACACCTATCACGGGCCGCAACACAAAGGTAACTATTTTCGTAAATGCATTTTTTGTTAAAGATTGACCATTTCGATTAAATATGATATAGAACAATACATAGGCTAGGTCACCAATGGAAACAATGTATATGACGCACTCATCTGAGTAAATATGGAAAGAAACATTATTTGAACGATTGAATTGATTTCAGTATAGGCTAATGTTACACTTGCAATGTGTGTAAATGTGTGTAAATTTGTTCAGTGGAAAAGACATACCACAACAACGTGAGCGGCAGCACTGGAGTGACGACCGTCAATGAGGTCACAGGAGACACGGTCAACATTGGCAGCAGCAGCAGCAGCCCATCCCAACAACCAGCGTCACAAACTGCATCTCAAAGTAGGGCTCATATATTTATCTATGTTTAGAGAACATATCGAATACCAAACGAGCTCCCGTGTAATACCAATTTTATGAAACGAGTGAATAGTTCTGGTATTTGACGAGCGAAAGCGAGTTTCATAAGATTTCTATTAAACGGGAGCGAGCTTAGTATTATATTTATTACTCGCCATTTATAACGTTTTATAGAATTTCACCGTCGTGTATGAATAGGGAGACATCTACACGACCCACAACATAATCCTTTTGAGTTTAACAGAATACACCTTCAAACAAGTCAAACGGTGACGCATATTAATTTAATACCATACAACGGCCCTCCTTTAGAACTCAGGCGTCCGTTCCACAAAGTTATCGTAGCGCTAAGGTTATCGTAACTTACCTACTTTAACAGAAACTTACGACGGCCGTTGCGCTACAATACGATCGCCTTGTGGAACCACACAGTTTACAATCGCGTAATGAAACAATGACGTACTTTGTGGAATCTTGTTGCAATATCCACCGGCGACACAATGTCATGTGGGGTCAGTCCAACAACAGGGTTGCTGAAGTAGTTGAGTGTGCATAAGCTCCTCTCGTTGATCTATCATCTCCTCACGCAATGTCGTTGAACAAGCCAAGTGATGTTGGGAGTTTTCAATATTTGTCAGTGAACGTGTTCCCGCAGTAATCAAGCACGGGGTTTGGTATAACGCAATGTGTAATACAGCTGTATGTTTATAATATGGGTGATCTCTTCCCGGGCAAGTAATAAATCTCCTTAACAGATATAGGGCCGCGTTGAAATACGATTGTTAAGCGCTGCGGTGAGTGAATAGTCGCTGTGGCTATATATTCTGCACCTACAGTTTGTGTACAGTCTAAACAAGTCCATGATGTTGGTCGTTTCGGTCTAGGTTATATTGAAATGAGGAAAACACATCATATGTAGAGGTCACGGTAGCACAATACTGTACAAGGATTACAAGGAAAAGTATTATCTTCATATTTCAGTGTAGCTATCTCCATTACCCATCATTAAGATGGGTATTATTAGACTTCAACTCGTTAACATTCAAAAACATTTCGAATGTATTTGGGGGGCACGGGTGGCCCAGTCGTCTAAGGCGCCGCAATTCGCTGTGCAGAGTTGCGTCCCTTGGGCATGCCAGAAACTTATTATTGTGGGTTCGAATCCCGGTTCACCCCACATATCACGGCGTGTCAGCTTTATGTTGGAGGAAAGCTCGAAGTGATGCAGGTCTCAGACGTTCACCACTTCGGTGAAACCCACGAGCACGGGTACGGTGCTGACAAACCTGGAAACATAATCGGGGCGAACCGGGATTCCAACCCACAATCATAGCTTTCTGACGTGCCCAAGGGACGCAACTCTGTACAGCGAATTGCAACGCGTTAGACGATTGGGTCACCCGTCACACTATTTAGAATGGCTCTCCATATGTGTAGTTTACCTAAGTACCCATATCAGCTGTGATAACACCATTGTCAGACAGACATGGCATATATACTCACCGCCAAAAGAAACGCGAACCAAGAAACATATAGAGAAGTATGTACCTTGAGAAGAGATGTTTCCAATGTGTACCACTTAATGACAAAAGTAACAACCTGTAAAATGCTACCACCGTGTCTTTATTCTCATGACGATATGGTGCACGTGATTTTCAAACTTAACACGCTAATCCTGCACGAGACAAAAAGTGCAGCTCGAGTCACGGATCTATGGCGTCATGTGTGATGTTCATGAGAGTAGGTTCATACAGTATACCAGTATGTTCGTTTGTGCACGGAACCAATCTCATATCTGTTGAATATGAGTAGTTCTTCATGTATTAACCAACATTTATGGTTTTCACGTGTTTTCTGTCGGTGTGTTTCTGTACATATATGTATTAAATGTTTGATAGGCATTACTTAGAAGTTGACGGATGATAAGGTAGACAAAATTTTACGGATAACAACTTCTTTAATACTGTAAAAAACGACCTGTCGGTATAGATCCTTATACCGTTGTCAAGCAAGACTGCATGAGGGACATGGTACAGAATATATATAGCACACAGTACACCTACTATATATATTCTGTACATGTCCCGTTTTCAGTCTTGCTTGACAACGGTATAAGGATCTGTACCAAAACGTCGCTTTTTACAGAGTTAAATAAGTTGTATCCATACAATTGTGTCTACTATATATGAATTATTATTCGGCATAAGGGGTATATCTCTAAACCAGAATGTTGTTTAACGTATATATGATTTAACACACATGTCGAATCATATGATAACATCTACTGTTTTCCACAGTTCCAGGTCCAGCCTTAGAGCTGATGACAGTTGAAGATGTTCAGGATCTGATGACAAGAGAGCGTTTTCCTGAAACCACGAGAAAAACATTTGAGGAAAATGGCATTGATGGCAAATACTTCGTGAAACTTTTAGAAGTGGGCGTTTTGGAAGAGCTCGGTGTCACGTCACCCCTTGCTAAAATGAAGATAAAAACAATTCTCGAAAATCGTTCCAAGAAATCTAGTTGACTGCCCCATTGATGTTCGCCTATCATTCGGGTCCACTATGCTTCATCCTTCACCATCTCACGACATGACATGGACCGTGAACGATGACAATCTTTGTGGCTTCAGTGTTATCAACTGTCATTCATGACATCCAACGATTAATTGTTTTAATCAAAGTACATATTTGTTACCTGATTTTCATCGACTCATATTTTATCAAATAAATATTATCTATTTACTTCAATGTATGCATCACTGTTGTGTTTTCAAGTGTGATTGCGGAATTAATTTTGGATAGATTGATCCGGCTCTGTGTTTGTTTGTTTGTTTGTTGTAACAACAGGCCTCCAGGTAGGTCCGCGCTTAAGGCTTTATTTTATTTCAAGTGTGTTAGTGTGAAGGGTTTGTCCATTACTTATTTGTTTGTTGCTTAATGCCGCGCTCAGCAATATCACAGCTATATGACGACGGTCTGCAAATAATCAGGAGGACCAGACAATCCATTGATTGACAACATGAACATTGATCTGAGCAATTGGGAAACGATGACATGCATCAACAAAGTCAGCGAGCCTGACCACCCGATCCCGTTAGTCACTTCTTCCAAGAGTAGTTGCTCCCTAAGACAAGCATGGGTTGCTGAAGAGCAATTCTATCCCGGTCAGGCGATGTGACGGGGCTTGGTGCATGCGGGACACCGTAAGCATTGGTCGTTTCTCATGATTTTTGGGACCCTATTGTCTTCAAGCAACCGTAGCATCATTCACTCATTCAATCACTCATTCACTCACTCACTCACTCAACCCACCCACGAAACCCACTCGCTCACTCACTCACTCACCAGTCAAGTCCCCGAATGAATTTTAGGTGTTCGCAAAACGATGAGCGTTCCCGTCACAAACACATGCAAGGGCATATCAAACGTCAAACGTATGACTGAATACGTGCACGTGAGTAACGTACCAGGTGCACCATCATTCCACCTTTTGACTTGCAAAAAAAAACGCAACCTGGCTTTGTTATCTAACACTTGACCCAAATTTTACATTCTGAAAATCGTTTCGCACAGGACACTAAAATTAGATCCTTGTCATCAACAGATTTACTTCCTGCATGTACATTTGTTGGCAACTGATCAAATGTCAAAAGAGTTGACAGCCTATGCGAGTGGTAACCTGTCCACAATGGAAAATCTAAATTCGGAGTTGTTGTTGGAAATATTTTCCGAGAAATGTCATGGGCGTTCCCTGAGAAAAGTAGATCCACGTCATGGAAATAAAAATAAGTCCATGTCATCAGAAATCAATAATGTCAACACTATAGACAACTGTCACTTCGCTAAACCTACAAAGAAACCAGACGTTCATGATATTCGTCCCCACAAAGGTAATACTTTATTTCATGAGCAATTATTCAAAGTAATTAAATGCTGAGGTTTTTATTAAGGAGTTGAAACTAAAAAGAATGTAAAGGCATATTATAACCGATGTAGTTGGAATGTTGGAATTATTCCAATCACACAAACACTTTTTGTTTATTTTCAATTGTAATGTCATCAGGGTATGCAGTTTGGTATATTAAACAAATAATTTACGGATCAAAAAGTCGTTTATAGACATTCTGCTTTTATTGAAGAACAGGTAACTTCAACACAACCAAGCACATGCACGTCAAAACGTCCTGGGGCCTTACGATACATGGCATCTGTAGTGGTCTGGTGTGGGGACCGAGGTTTCATCTTTGTACAGTTGGTTGGCTGGTAGTTTTACGCCGCACTCAGCAATATTCCAGCTATATGACGGCGGTCTGTAAATAATCGAGTCTCGACCAGACAATCCAGTGATTGATATCATGAGCATCGATCCACGCAATCGGGATCGATGACAAGCATCAACCAAGTCAGCGAGCCTGACCCGTTAGTCGCCTCCTACGACAAGCATAGTCGCCTTTTACGGCCAGCATAGGTTGCTGAAGGCCTATTCCACCCCGGATCTTCACGGGTCTCTTCTTACAGGACAAGTCGACTTCGGGATAACGAGGTTACAGAACAGTCTGTAAATTGTTTACCACTGTGGTCATAATCTGAAGGATCTGTTATATTGCAGGTTAAACAATGGCAACAATTACCGTGACAGGGGCAGACGGAAACGCAAAAATAAAGAACTCAAGCGTTACTGGGATTCAAAACAGTAACGGAAAACTTCCATCACAGAAAGGTATGAATTGTTTATTTATCGTTTAATATAGTCGCTTAAAATAACAAACAATAGAATACGACATACACTGTATATGGACAAGCTGTTATGCTAAAGTCTGGATGCCCTACATAGCCAGTTCGTAGCTGGGTCTTCGGCGTTACGAGCGAACGCTTTAACCACTGGGCTACCCGACCGCCCCCGAAGCATTTGATTGTGTCAACTCATGATATGATTATGGAAAAGGGTTTGTGACTTTTTTTCATTTTTTAAGTATTACTATTATTATAATCTTAAATAAGGTTAATCATATATTCATGAGAATTATTTCTTCTATTCACCAGATATCAGGAAAATGGAAGTGACGGGTGTCAAGGGTAATGCTGAGGTAGACAATTCTGTCGTTGCCGGCATTAATAACGGCCAAATGGGATCTGTTGGTGAGTTTATGTATTCGCTGGAACAGATCCTTATACATTACCATGTTAATATGGTTGGTCTTTCATCCAAGTATCAATAAAATCAAGAAACGTAATACCATTTGAATTAGACAATTGACTCAATCGGTTTTCTATCTCCACACATTGAAATCATCATCGATATCAGTAATAATTTATTCCAGAAAACAGGCAGCAAACATACAATATTGGAACTGCCCACGGCGTCGTAGGTGGGCAGGACATGCAAGGCGCATCTGTGAATCAAGGGGGAATCACAGGGCCAAGATCAGGACCCATTGCATACTTCAAAGGCAAAGGTAATTATAACATTACTGTTAATCTGCTGTGTTATATGGATCTTTGAACCGCTAATATTTCATTCCGGGATCAATACTTCATCGGGAACCGAAATATGATTAGCTATGTACACATCTTTGCTGAAAGGCTCCAACGTTTCTAAAACGAAATTATGTACAAGCGAAAATGAATCACTTCTACACTACAAATAAGTGTCCTTCAAAAAGTATTCATAGATGCTCCTGAGACGGAATACTATTAATACAGAATCACTGATCTTAAGGAAATATGCTTATCATAAATTGTTTAAAAATAACTGATAACACTGTGTACCATTGAAACCATCAGTAAAGCTTCAACGTGACGTAACCTTTGGGTTTTGGCTTTTATTATGAAATATATTTACGACTCCGTTTGCCTTCCAGCTCGTTCGGACATCTCTGAGGAGGACATTGTTGGTCTCCTACAGGAGAAGAAGCTAGAGAAACACATTCCACTATTCGAGAAACATGGCATTGATGGGGATTTATTGTCTCAGCTCAACGAGGATGAACTCAAAGCAAACTTTGGCATTGACGACTCGTTTGAAAGGAAGAAAATACTGAATCTAAAGAAATATATCCCTCAATAATATATTCGCTCAACCATCTCGACTGTTAAAAGATCATATGTAATGGATTGTCTGTGTCGATGCTATCAATGTCATTATGAACTATCAAAAGGCTTCTCACTGTAGTTGGATCAACATACTCTTCCTTTATCATTTGAACAGTAGATTTTGCATTGCCTCATGCTATCATCCATCATTACACAATAAACATTAGATCTGAAAACAGTGTTGTTATATGGGACATGAAAGTTCTGAGAATAAGTAAACAACAATCATACTATCCCCGTTCCCATTAGCATTCATGAAAAAACATTAGTACTTCAACTGAGTGAGTGAGTGAGTTGGGTTTAACGCCGCTTTCAACAGTATTCCAGTTATATCACAGCGTGTCAGCTTAATGTGGGAGGAAAGCCCGAAGTGATGCAGGTCTCAGACATTTACCACTTCGGTGAAACCCACGAGCACGGGTACGGTGCTGACAAACCAAGAAACATAATCGGGGCGAACGGGGATTCAAACCCACAATCATAGCTTTCTGGCGTGCCCAAGCGCGCACCTCTGCACAGCGAATCGCGGCTCCTTTTGACGACTGAGTGAGTGAGTTGAAATTTTAAGTCACATCGGCGATATTTCAGCCATACCGTGACTCCTTAGACGACTGCCCCCTTCCCTCCTCTCCCCCCCCCCCCCCCCCCCCCAATCCCCCTTTCCTTCTAGTTCGACTGAAGAATGACTATCTGTAGAAAATGAAATGTGTAGAAAATGTAGCATGTTATACTAATTAATGCTACTGGTGGGGCAGGACATGCTTACCCTTTTCCCGAGCGCCTGGTGTTACATCACTGATTTTAAGTGGTCCATTCATAAAAGCTTCACAGCTATTTGGCCCTTTAGGCAAAACCTTTTTCGGTGGATAATCAGGGCTGCATTTTTGTGCATTGCCATTTTATAATTGCATATTACATCATGAGCACACATCAGATGAACAGACCACATCAATATGGCTCGTCCAATGGGTATACAGATCATTCATAGTAAAAACTAAACGTTTGCCATTCAATATCAATCCGTAAGTTGACACTAGCGATACACAACCCTGCTCTTTCTGCCTGACATCAGCCTAGATATCTATGACCTATTTGTAACGTAAAACATGGTGATAATACCTCATCAGACGTAAAGCTTGAGTTGTCTTCCTTTCATGCTATTCATAACCTTGCGTCATTTAAGGAACGTATTCCCGAGAAATATGGCTATAAATAGATCCATGTCAATGTGTTAACATGTTATACCGGGAATGATAGTGAGGCTCATAACGCGAAGGGCCCTTCAGATTCAAGGTAGGTTGACTTCCTTGTCATACACAGCTCTGTGTTATTAAAGTTTAAACCATCCAACAGCGGAGTATAAAAAAGAGATAGCATGTCTTCCGCTCGTATATAGCCACCATGTAGACACAGTTCGTAATCTAATTTGTTTGTTTGTTGTCCAGTTTGTCAAAAGGACACAACAGTTAGACGATGAAAAACCACGAGAGAAGCCTGTTGCAAATTTTGGGCAGTTATATTGCATATCATAGTTGTTTATCTTTTTTTATTCAGATTACAAAATGTCAAAGTATGATATCACAATGAAGGGAGGTGAAGGCACGACGAAAACGACCAATATGGCTGGTATCGTCCACGACGGGATGGGTAATACCTACACTACCAACCACAACCAAGGTAGTCAACTGAAAGAGTTTTTGTTCACTATTTGTAACATAGACTTAGTGTCCTGTGGATATATCCCTTTGCTGTTCATATCGATGTCATATTTTGAAATGTTCCATTTAACAGGGGCGGTCGGTTAGCCTAGTGGTTAAAGCGTTTGCTCGTCACGCCGAAGACCCGGGTTCGATTCTCGACATGGGTACAATGTGTGAAGCCCATTTCTGGTGGCCCCCGCCGTGACATTACTGGAATATTGCTAAAAGCGGCGTGAAATCAACTCACTCACTCACTCCATTTAACGATTCAAATAATTAAAAAAACACAGATTCATAATAAATGTCATACATTAATGTGGTAAAAAAAGACATATATACATTATTTGGCAAGAATATTTCGTTATTTACTGGATTTAAAAAGAAGACAAGCATACTGTTTTAACAGGGCTAAATTGAACTTGAAGGACATACAGCATTACATGGGTAACATTGCTAGCACTACGAACACTGGACGCTTATCTCCTTTCTTCAATACATAAAATAAACGGGAACACTTTGTTTGTTTTGGAAAACACTATGTTAGCTGACCTATGTCTCTTTAGCTATTTTTCGATCTGAATAAATGAAACACCCATAGTAGTCTTTAAAAGAAATAAGGCCCTGGACATATGCGTGTGCTCAAACATAATTTTATAACATCATAATACTTAAGTTGCACTGAGAGTGTGTAGCACCTTTTAAGACAATTAAGAGCGCCTTGAAAGATTTGGTTATATAGCAAGCGTCATTATTATGTCATAGCAGCTCTCATTGCTAGGCATTTATTACGCGACAGTAGGTGAAAGAAGGGAGCCAGAGCCTAGCTCTTTGTTGTCCCTAAAACTTGAAATACTATACCTTAATTAGTCTATTGTTCTCATGTTTACGGCTAAAAAGGTATTGCAACATATTTTGAATATTGAATAATTATAAATTATACACAATCCCTTATAAACCCTTTCCATATTGATAAGAGGTCTCTTTAAAACTATGAATCAGCAATTGGTCAATATGCTAGTTGCGATGACCAAACAAATAATAAAGACCAAATGAGGATAGCGATTCGCAGGAACACATCCTCCAACATTACACGGCTAATATGGTTGGCCTTGCATCCATCACATGTAGCAAATAAAATCAAGATTTGATATCGAATTTAAAAATTAACTGAATTGGTTTCCTATCTCCACACATTGATCTAATCATCATTAACATTTCATTCCAGAAAACAGGCAGCAAACATACAATATTGAAAATGCCCAAGGCGTCGTAGGTGGGCAGGACATGCGAGGCGCATCTGTGAATCAAGGGGGAATCACAGGGCCAAGATCAGGACCCATTGCATACTTCGAAGGAAAAGGTAAATTACTGTTAATCATCTGTGTTACATGAAACTTTGAACCGCTGATGTATCATTCCAGGATCAATACTTCATTGATAGCCGAAATATGATAAGCTATTATCTTTGCGGAAAAGCTCAAACGTTTTAAAAACGAAATTCTGCACCCGTATTTATTTTAACTAATAAGAAAAAATATGTTTACTTCTGCACTACAAATAAGTATCCTTCAAAATGTATTCATAGATGCTCCTGAGACGGAATACTATTAATACAGAATCACTGATCTTAGAGAAACACGCTTCTCATGAATCGTTAATAAGAAAACTGATAAACAATATTTTTTAACCAGCGCCACAGTGACATACTGTTTCATTGTGTAACATGAAAACCATCAGAGAGCTTCAACGTGACATAACGTGTGGGTTTGGGCTTTTATTATGAAATATATTTACTACTAAGTTTGCATTCCAGCTCGTTCGGACATCTCTGAGGTGGACATTATTGGTCTCCTACAGGAGAAGAAGCTAGAGAAACACATACCACTGTTCCAGACACATGGCATTGATGGGGATTTATTGTCTCAGCTCAACGAGGATGAACTTAAAGCCTTTGGCATTGACGACTCGTTTGAAAGGAAGAAAATACTTAATCTGAAGAAATTTCTTCCCAAATAATATATTCGCACATTCTTATCGACAATTTAATGAACATGTGCAATGCACTGCCGTGCCGATGCGATGCATGCCAATATGAATTATCTGATGGCTGCTCACTGTATTTAGATCCACAGACACTTCCTTTATCATTTGAACCTTAGTTTTAGCATTGCATAATGTTATCATCCATTATAACATAATAAACGTTGAATTTGACAACAGTGTTGTCATATGGAACATGACAGTTCTGAGAATAAGGAAACAACAACAATCATCTCACCCCCCTTCTACGAATAAGAAAACAACAGTCATATCATCCACCTTCTCATTCGTATTCATGGAAAAAATACTTCTGCAAATTAAGATCGATTATTTGTAGAAAATAGAAACTGCAGTGTATGTTTGGGTGCATAAGTAATGCTAAAACTGTGATATGTTATAATAATTACTAGCCTTTTATTGCAATTTATCATCCAAAACTGATAAATCTCACACTCATGTCTTTTGATATAAATTATATCAACACTCGTTTTCCACTTTCATCAATTTGTGTTGATAAATTTGATTTTGATGAGCGTGTTCCCTATTGGTTGAGTTGTCTGTATTGTATGTGAAAATCACATATTGGAGAAGTTCTTCATCCGTAGGGACACGGATGGCGCCGCGATTTGCTCTGCAGAGTTGCGTCCCTTGGGCACGCCAGAAACCTACGATTGTGGGTTTGAATCCCGGTTCGCCCCGATTATGTTTCTAGGTTTGTCAGCACACTCTGGTGAGATTATCTTTATCTTAAGATTTTGATAAGCGTGTTCCCTATTTGTTGAGTTGTCTGTATTGTATGTGAAAATCACATATTGGAGTAGTTCTTCATCACTAGGGGGGTTGGGGGGGAGGGGGGGCACTTTGTTAATTAGGGGGCACGGGTGGCCCAGTCGTCTAAGGCCCCGCGATTCGCTGTGCAGAGTTGCGTCCCTTGGGCACGCCAGAAACCTATGATTGTGGGTTCGAATACCGGTTCGCCCCGATTATGTTTCTAGGTTTGTCAGCACCATACCCGTGCTCGTTGGTTTCACCGAGGTGGTAAACGTCTGAGACCTGCATCACTTCGGGCTTTCCTCCCACATTAAGCTGACACACCGCGATATAACTGGAATACTGTTAAAAGCGGCGTTAAACAGAACTCACTCTCTTTCTTCATCCGTGGTCCAAATATTTCGAGTAAACGTGGTCTAAATTGTATTCCACAGTTGGTTGCAAAACGAATACACGCTTTACACTTTTTCCTTTACTTATAAGCAAAAGAATCTCTGTACTGGTACAAAGTAGGCTTAATTTCATTTTCTTAACGGATCGGTTTTCTGATTCATCTATCACTTGATTGTCTGGCCTGTTTTCAGGCTGCCGTCACATGGCTGTGCGGCGTCAGGTAATGAATGCTTGCTTGTTTATGCAACTGGTGTGAATGCCACTGGACATGCTTACCCTTTTTGAGAATACCTGGTGTCATCACTGATTTTCACTAGTCCATTCATAAAACGGTCACAGCTATTTTGCCCTTACGCCAAGTGGAGTCTGCTTCGGTGGATATTCAACACTGGTTATTCTCCTTTGCATTGACATTGTACATTTACATATTTTATGCACCTCCTGGTTACTTTCGAAGTTCATATAATACTGGTTAAATAAGATTTAATCCAGGTGAATAAAAGCGACAAAACCCTTTCCATATTCATGAGAAGTCTCTGCCACAAGCAATGTCGATCTTGAATCATATCAATTCGTGTCCAATGTTGAAGATTTGTTGTGAATAACTTCAATAATATCTCCATTCACTCAACAACAGTTAGAGAATCTTTCAATACACCTACACTATTCAAAAGCCTTCAACTACTCAGTGTGGGACAATGTGACTGATTTATTTATACCCTGCACGGTCATAGTGAGGGTTTTGCAATGGATGAATGCATGCTCTCCTCAGGAAAGACTGAATCAGATCACTGTGAAGGGGACACATAAATATAGTGTTTTAAACCGTCTGGTGGCGTTATTTCAGAACCTGCAGGTGAAAACATTTTGACGAAGTTTTCAAAACAGCATTTCTGATTTCAACGACTTAAAACGACAATTTCTGAACCTATATCTACATCATCATATTTTTATGCACCACAATGGTATGCACGTCAAAAAGGTAGCACCCCGAAAGACATATGTCTTTTCTGTGTGGATTTTCATTGGTACAAATCGATATTTCTGAATCGAGAAATACGTGCGTCAATATATGTTACCCTTAGGGTTATACAAATTCGATCCTAGAATAACCTGGCTGTTAAATGTATCACTGCCTCTTTTCTTAAATCACTTTTTCGTCTTGTGTCTTCCAAAAATGTCAGTGTCAAATAACCATCCAAATATCGACAGCCAATCGAACGCAATTGGGAATCTAAGTCAGTGTATGTCAAAACGTTCATTATATGTGACATCATAACAAAGCAGTTCAGCAGTTTTTTACGTCTTTTTTCAGTTGGGCCATCATTACCAGTCGTCGCCCCTTCTGCACACCGGGAGTGTTACTAAACAAATACAACTCGTGATTGAGCCACATTCAAAACAAGAGACAAAAAAATCCATTTGCAGTTCGTATCAAAAACAAATGCAATAACACAGCAGTTATTTCAAATAGATTTCGTGGAAAGATTTCAGTGTCACTATCTGTTTCGGATTACATACACTTAAAAAAACCAGTTAGGGATCATAAATCTTTCAGGGGACAGTTGGGATATTTTTTAAACAGGTACAACTCGTGATTGAGTCACTTTCAACAGAGAAAAGACCTCTCGTTCGATTGAAGGTTTAAATTCGCTTATCACTGAAATGATTGTGAAGAAAGATATCAGTGTCACTATCAATCTCTCGTGATGCTGATTTCAAATATACTCACCACTTAATTGAAAGCGTCAACAAAAGGGAATAATCAGTTTCCTTAATGTTTCTGTTATGATTTGGTTTGTTTGTTTGTTGTTTAACACCGCACTCAGCAATATTCCAGCTATACGACGGCTTCTGTTATGAGCACACATGAGATGAACCGACAACATCGATAGCGTTCACACAATAGGTGTACAGTCCGTTCCTACTTAATACTAAACGTCTGCAATTCAATATCAACCAGTTGGTTGACACAAGACTCACACACCCTTGCTCTTTTTTGCCTGATATAAGCCTAAATAATCATATGCTTTTTGTCATTTGAGACATGATGTAAGTCAGTGATGACATCAGAATTGAAGTTAGAATTGTTTTTTATTGACACAAATCATGACGTTCCGTAATTTACGGAAGGTATTTTCCAGGAAAGTGGTTGTAAATATGTTAATATATGATGACTGGTATGTAATAGCGAGGCTCATTGCATGAAGAGCCCTTCAGGAGCAAGGTAGGTTAACCTTCTTGTCATACACAGATCTGTGTTTTTTTAAGTTTAAACTTATCCAACAGCTTTGATATAATAAGAAATTAAATGTATTCCGCTTGTGTGTAGCCACTAGTAGACATTTGGTCGTAGCCCAGTATGTGTATTTCTGTTCCAGGTTGTCAAAAGCGCAATACAGTTCGACAATGAAACGCCATGATAGAAACATGTTGAAATGTTGTCGCCTATTCTGTACTTGTGACGTTATATCGCTCATCATGCCTGTTTATCCTTGTTTATTCAGAAAACAAAATGTCAAAAATCACAGCTACGGGAGTTGCAGGCGGCACGGTGGAAAAGTCCAATGTTGCTGGTATTAATTACGGCGAGATGAGCAATAGGGTCACTACCACCCATAACCAAGGTAGTCAACTCAAAAAGTTTACGATTAATAACATAGGTTTAGTGTATTATGCATTTTTATTACAATGTTATGTTCATTGAAATGTCCTTTAATTATTGTTTTCAACAACACCGACTAATCACGTATATATTGCACTTTAATGTGATGAAAAAAACCAACATGACATGTATTCATTATTTATGTATAATTCGTTATTGGTATATCATTTTTAACTGATTTAATGAGGAACCATCATTTTGGCACCCGGTATTCACAATTATTTTCCATTAAACACATAATCATATGACGGAAGATGGTCATTATCGAATAATAATCATAGACCTAGCTAGATATATTGTAGTCCGAACAAAAGTATTTTCTTCATTGTCATCCTATAATTTTGTGACCGTCAACATGGCCTTTGGATGAGAGTTGGGTGCCACAACAGACGACTTAATGTCTCCCAACATATACTTTAGTATTCTTTATCCTCAAGTCGCATTTACGACACGCATTCTAACTTGTTAACACAAAGTTAGTACCTCTAAATACAACTTAGCAGACCTTGAAAGGTTTAGCTCTATTACACAAGCCACAATAATGTCGTCACAACGCTCATTGAAAACATTTGAAGTCCCAGCTCTCTGTTGTCCACAAAACTTAGTCGACTGCTAATGTGTTTTCTGCTGAAAATGTATTCCCATTCATGTTTTGAATATTAAATTATAATAAACAAAAGCAACAAGAAGAAATACAGAGCTCAATGTACGATGCTGGGAAGACCACAAGCATGTGTTTATAAATCAAACTTTGGTCAATGCATTCGTTGTAAAATACTAACAAGTATTAAAAGTAATTTATATTCAATCCCAATATGTAATAATATGTACATTTTACATTCCAGGAAGTCGACAAATCACAAACCAAGGTAATATAGGTAATATTGCCACAGGTGATAACCACAGGGGGAATATGGCTGCTTCAGTCGGTGGCCAACCTGCAGCTGGTGGCACAAGAGGTAAGGCTTGTCAAGGACGGATCTTCTTTGTTTGCTGTTTAACGCCGCACTCAGCAATATTCCAGCTATACGACGGCGTTCAGTAAAAAAATCGAGTCTGGACCAGACAATCCAGTGATTGACATCATGAGCATAGATCCACGCAATTGGGATGCGATGACATTCATCAAACAAGTCAACTAGCCTGACCACCCGATCCCGTTAGTCGCCTCTAACGACAGCATAGTCGCCTTTTACGTTAAGCATTGGTTGCTGAAGGCCTACTTTACCAGGGATCTTCACGAGTCTACAGGACAGATCTCTATTGTATTACAGCCGAAATTCATGTATACATTAATTTGATATTTTACACTGTTGACCTTTTCTCAAATTCAATTGTAATATGTTTTGCTTTTATAAACCCATGGTATATAAGATATATATCCTTATGCGATTACTATTGTGGGTATTCAATGGTGTGTTTGTCAAACTGGTTTCTTTTATAAATCTTCGGGTAAATGGTTCTAATGAATACAATGTACTCATGATAATACTTGTGACATCGAGAGGCATACCTGTAATTGACATTATTCATCTTGAACAGATCCTAGAGCACTCACTCCAGGAGAACTGATAAACCTTCTGAGGGAGCTCCAGCAATGCGGACACTATTAAGAGTTTTGAGACACATAATGTTGACGGGCGATTGTTCATGGACCTAGATGATGAACTTCTTGTCGATCTTGAGATTAACAGCAGGATAGAACAAAGGAAGCTCAAGCGTTGAAAGGAAGACCTCATTCAGTGAACTGGATTTACATTACCAAAGAAGCAAGTGAATAACTGTGTTCGCCTTCTCGCTGTGGATACACTTCGCAGTGAATAGGAAGGTTTGCAAACATAAGTCCTCATGAAATATAAAAAATAAGCCAATTTCGTTTATTTAATTGTATTTTGTACTTTTCAAATATTAAATAATACACTTGCATTTCTGCTGCTGTGTTGTGTTTGTTTTTCAATGCAAATGAGCCCTCAGGAGATTACAACTTGAGGGCTAGCTGGCCGTGTCCTCGCATGCCAACAATTTGAATGACTTTCGCATTTATAGAAAAAGTACTCAAATGATCAACACCGGGATATCAAAACACATATGAACTTCATCCCTTAAAACCAATGACATGCGATTCTATTCTTAATTGCTGACATCGAAACAAGATCACTTTTTGTGTTGCTTTGATTTTCAAGGTGTATTAATTGACCCATTTATCTTCAATTCCTCAGGAAAAGCTTCCTGGTGCGTCCGAAACATATTGCACGGTCTCGGTATAAAAACTTCTTAGCCATCGTATTTGCGAATTCATGATGCATACTGATACGACAAGCATCCGTTGCTGAAGATCGTTGCCACGTTGGGCACCGTCTGGTTCAGACTTGAATGGGTGATGGTCGATATTGGACGAATTCCGTCACGAGTTATTGTAATATTCGTTGTCAGATTTATCAGATTGTGTTTAAGCTTAGGTTATCTTTGATTGGTTTTATTCTGCTTTGAGGTTACATCCAAACACCGGAAATACAAGTTGTTAATGACCGAGGGTTGTTTTTCTGACATGATGCATGTAGAGGTTATCGTGAAATTATGATGCTATTATCGATCTTTCACCCAACTTCGTACATCCGTTTCAGTGGGTGATACAACATATGACATAAAACTTTGTGTTGTTTCACATATTGTTTTTTTTAAATATTTATCCACACATGCTCCCCTGAGCATATTAAAAACACATTGATATCGGTTATTACTTACATATTGACGAGTTTCAAGTTGCAAAAAACTCTTCTTTTATTTAAAATCTCTGTATTGTCCTTTACATATGTATTTATAACAACAAAGTTCGTGGAAACGTTACACTTTTCAATAACATTGACTAACGATGGATCTATTTATAATGATTACTTTGATACCCCGGCTCAGTAGTAGTCAGCAATGGATTCGTAAGCATGGGACCTATGGTCTATTTTAAGTTGTTTTTGTATCGCCATGGCTGCAATATCGACTATAGCGTATTTTAACACGCTGTACATTACAATAGTGAATGATATCGATTATGTCATGAATTATGATTGCAGCCCTTCAGAAACATGGATGTGTATTTGTAGTTGAAGATAACATCCTAGGGCGACAGAATGTACAAACTTTTTCGGTATATGTCCTTGAAGGTTCATCTAAATCTGGAACACATTTTCCAAAGTAGAAGGATGTCCAAATCTAGTCCATACTGATCCATACTTAGTTTCCATACAGCTCAAACTTTTAAAGTACAAAATATTTATTTCATGTAATATCCCAAACAGTGTCAATCAAAGAATCAATATATCAAGTATATTTTTGTATAAGGCATTGGGCCAATGTACAAAAGAAATGAACAAAAAGGTTCCACTTTAGTAAGTTTCTAAATTTCATGGTTCTCAAGTATACACATAAGAGGCACTTAATACTCGAAAATTCTCGAAATTCGACCCGTGAAGATCCGGGGTAAAGGCGCCTATGCTTGTCGTTAGAGGGGACTAACGGGATCGGGTGGGTTGCTGAAAACCAATTATCCCCGAATCTTCGTAAGTTTATGTAACCCATACAAATTAATGCCAAATGATGATGTTTTGTTGTGAGCACCTTAAATAGGATTTTCTTTAACTCCAGGCATTTAGAGAAAAAAAATTTAACACACCCTTCACTATTTAAACAATCAACAACCTTTCAGTGCTGGAGGATGTTACTCATCTATGTATTCCAGTACCGTCATGGTTAGACAGATCCTCAATGTGTGATTCACTTACTCCAACAAAACAGAAAAAAACTACCCTGTTTATGTATGTTTATACATACTGGTTTAACTATATAAACACTTCATTTCCTTTTACGTGGATCCGTTTAGGGAGATATATAGTGTTCAAAAGCTTTTCCTAACCTCAATGTAAGGCATTGTATGTTTGAAGACCACTTCTCTTTCACAGAAACCGTCTATTCTTCTATTGGCCATGATATATAATCATTTACTAAGGAATAACAAATTACTGGTAGTTTTCGTTCAGTCAGCACGCGAGAAGACCTTATCCATAAAGACGATTCATTTAAGCATGACAGTTTTCATGGAAAATTTACGTTTTTTGTGTGACCAACACACCTTCTATCATACACGCAGCAAAACCAACATTCCATAAATGATGATAACTTGTTATCTGTTTTCTCTAAATGTAGGGATTCCGGTGTTAGAATATGTCCCAAGCAACTTTAGTTCTCGGTAGGAGTGAAGCATTCAAAACCAACATTTCTGATTCTGTATCTCACAATGAATTAAAACGACAAGTTTCCGAATGTATTCAAGCGTCAACACAATGCTGTGCACATTCCCGAGGAACGCAATGAATGGGTTAATCGATATAAATGAACGGGCTCTGGGATTGACATGCACAATGTGTTACCTCAAATAATGTTGAAACGTATGAACTTATTCAGATAAAATTTAAGCATACACAAAGTTTACCGTGCTAGTATTTAATCGATAACATACAGCAAAGTGTAAGTCAGTTAATGTGCCATAACATAAACATAAATTTAAATCCACGTCACGTGCACGAAACTAAAAATAAGTCCATGTCACAAAAAATCAATAATTTCAGTACACAGACTACTATCACATCACTAGGATACAAATACCAAAGCAGCCAGGATATTTGTTCCGCAAAAGGTAATGCTTTATTTCATAAGTAACTCAACTCAATTAAATAAGAAGACCTTTATGAAGGAGTTGAAAGAGAGTACAATTTAAGAATATATCAGAACCGATGTGGTTTTGATTGACATATAGTTTTGAATGTTTGAATTATCGACAGCTTATTCCAAAGCGGACACGAATTGTTAACTTTCGTTTGTAATGTCATTAGGGTATGCAGGTTGGCATTTTGATTAGTAATTTGTTTATGGATTATTTATTTCCATACCATAAACAATCTGTATTTACTCTTATTGAAGAACATGTAACTTCAACATTATCGGCACAACAATGTAATGACGCTCGATACATGTTAGGTGCCACAGTGTTGGACATATAAATCAACTTCTGCAGGTCAAATCTACTTCGGAATAACCAGGTGTTAGTACAGTCTGTAAATGGTGTACCAGTGTGGTTGTAATGTGTGTGTTCTGTTTGATTACAGGTTGAACAATGGCAACAATTGAAGTGACAGGGGTAGACGGAAAAGCTAAGGTGAAAAACTCAAGAGCGGTTGGGATTCAAAACAGTGACGGAGAACTTCCATCACAGATAGGTATATAATGTTTCTATATCTGTAATTTTGTTCTCACTTTTCAATGATGGCAATTGTTTATTCATATTTACTTTTCACATGAACACTTTAATTCTTCGTTCGTTCGTTTGTTGTTCAACGCCGCACTCAGCAATATTCCAGCTATATGGACTGTAAAAAATCGAGTCTGAACCAGACAATCCAGTGATTGGCATTATAAGCATCGATCCATGCAATTGGGATATGATGATATGAATCAACCAAGTCAGCGAGCCTGTCCACCCGATCCCATTAGTTACTTGTAGTAAATGGTCATATGTGTTGGTAATACTATGTGTTGGGCTACTGAAGTATATCAACGTGTGATGTTGTCATTGTTAGAATGCACAAATTCAAAAAGAGGAAACAATGAACCCATTCTGTCTCAGCCAGCTGCCATACTTAAATAGTTTCTAGCTGTTCCCACTATCAAGGCTTCAGATAGCATAACAATATATGTAAAGGTCTTTACATTATTGTGTGATCAAAGGATTTCGAACAAGTAACATATCATATCATAGCACTTTTATTTCAGGTTATAAAATGGGGCGGTCGGGTAGCCTAGTAGTTAAAGCGTTCGCTCGTCAGGCCGAAGCCCCGGGTTCGATTCCCGACATGGGTACAATGTGTGAAGCCCATTTCTGGTGTCCCCCGCCGTAATATTGCTGGGATATTGCTAAAACCATACTCACTCATTCACTCAGATTATCAACAGTATGAATATTTTCCTTTATTAGGTTGTGCATATATTCATGAGAAATGTTTAATATATTCACCAGGTATCAAGAAAATGAAAGTGACGGGTGTCAAGGGTAATGCTGTGGTAGTCAATTCTGTCGCTACTGGCATTAATAACGGTCCAATGGGATCAATTGGTGAGTTTATGGATTCACGAAAACACATCATCCTACATTAATAGGCAAATATGGTTGGTCGTTCATCAATCACATATATCTAATGAAATCAAGAAACGTTATTCCTTTTGATATTGAATTTGACAATTTACTCAATCGAGGCTAATACGGTTGGCCTTGAATCCATCACATGTAGCAAATAAAATCAAGAAACATAATCTAATTTGATATCGAATTTAACAATTAACTGAATTGGTTTCATATCTCCATACTCACTCACTCACTCAGATTATCAATAGTATTAATATTTTCCTTTATTAGGTTGTGCGTATATTCATGAGAAATGTTTAATATATTCACCAGATATTGGCAACATGGAAGTGACGGGTGTCAAGGATAATGCTGAGGTACGCAATTCTGTCGTTTCAGGCATTAATAACGGCCAAATGGGATCAATTGGTAAGTTAATGGATTCACGAAAACACATCATCCTATATTAAAAGGCTAATATGGTTGGTCGTTCATCGATCACATATATCTTATGAAATCAAGAAACGTTATTCCTTTTGATATTGAATTTGACAATTACTCAATCGGTTTTCTATCTCCACACGTTGATCTCACTATCGACATCAGTTACGTATCATTCCAGAAAACAGGCAGCAAACATACAATATTGAAAATGCCCACGGCGTCGTAGGTGGGCAGGACATGCGGGGCGCAACTGTGGAACAAGGAGGAATCACAGGGCAAAGTTCAGGACCCAAGACATACTTCGAAGGAAAAGGTAGATTACTGTTAATCATCGGTGTTACATGAACCTTTGAACAGCTGATCTATCATTCCAGGATCAATACTTCATTGATAGCCGAAATTTGATAAGCTATTATCTTTGCGGAAAAGCTCCAACGTTTCTGAAACGAAATTCTGCACCTGTATTTATTTTAACTAATAAGAAGAATCATGTTTACTTCTGCACTACAAATAAGTATCCTTCAAAATGTATTCATAGATGCTCCTGAGACGAAATGCTATTAATACAGAATCACTGATTTTAAAGAAACACCCTTCTCATAAATCGTTTATAAGAAAACTGATAAACATATATGTTAACCGTCGCCACAGTGACATACTGTTTCATTGTGTAACATGAAAACCATCACAGAGCTTCAACGTGACATAACGTGTGGCTTTGGGCTTTTATTATGAAATATATTTACTACTATTCAAGACACATGGCATTGATGGGGATTTGTTGTCTCAGCTCAACGAGGATGAACTTAGAGACTTTGGCATTGACGACTCGTTTGAAAGGAAGAAATTTCTTCCCAAATAATATATTCGCACAATCTTATCGACAATTTAATGAACATGTGTAATGCACTGCCGTGCTGATGCTATGCATGCCAATATGAATTATCTGATGGCTGCTCACTTCCTTTATCATTTGAACCGTAGTTTTATCACTGCATAATTTTATCATCCATTATAACATAATAAACATTGAATTTGACAACAGTGTTGTTATATGGAACATGAAAGTTCTGAGAATAAGAAAACAACAACAATCATCTCATTTGCGTTGCGTTTCATCTCGTTGGTCATTTGCGGAAGTTATTCTCCAGGAAAGTGGTTATAAATAGATCCATGTCAATATGTTAATATGTAATACCGGGTAGGTGTTAGCGCGGCTCATTGCATGAAGAGCCCTTCCGAAGCAAGGTAGGTTAACGTTCTTGTCATACACAGATCTGTGTTTTTTAAGTTTAAAACTAGACCAACGGCTTTGATATCATAAGAAACAAGCGTATAGTCGACGAAGTCATCTGTATCCCCCGCCTATTTTAACACGTTATGGTCCCAAACCAGGTAAATGACCCAGCATTTCTTTTAGCCCATGTCAAAATAGCTGTAATGGAAATTCTAAAATATACATTTCTATAGCTCGTTAATATCAAAAGGCACCAGTTCAGTATGTGCTTTATATATAGACATGCAATGTTTGGCAAGGAAATATTTAACAGTTTATTTGTTATACTCCATAAGTGAACCCACCCTATAATAGAACCTAAGTCCAACTTGTTGCCATGGAATCGTAAAAAATAATAGTTTATCAAATTCCTAAATAGCAAAAGGCACCAGTTCAGTATGTGTCTGGTAGACATGCAAAGTTTTGTAAGAAAGGATTTAACGGTTTTTGAGTTACGCTCAGGAAACGAACAGCACCCTTATAGAACCTAAGTCCAACTTGTTGCCATGGAAACGTAAAAAAATAAAAATTAATAAAACTCCTTAGTAGCAAAAGGCACCAGTTCAGTATGTGTCTGGTAAACATGCAAAGCTTCGTAGAGAAATATTTAACGGTTTCTGAGTTATGCTCCGGAAACGATTTCGGGACGCACACATGCACACACACACGCACACACACACGCACACACACACGGACGGAACTCATTTCTATATCCCCCGCCAACTTCGTTGGGGCGGGGGATTATTATACGTATTCCGCTTGTGTGTATCCACTATGTAGACATATGGTCGTAGTAGCCCAAAATGTGTATTCCTGATCCAGGTTGTCAAAAGCGCAATACAGTTCGATAATAAAACGCCATGATAGAAACATGTTGAAATGTTGTCGCCTGTTCTGTACTTGTGACGTTATATCGCTCATCATGTCTGTTTATCCTGGCGGCACGGTGGAAAAGTCCAATGCCGTCCAAAGCCGTATTGTCTACGGCGGGATGGGCAATAGGGTCACTACCACCCATAACCAAGGTAGTCAAATAAAAAAATATTCACGATTAATAAAATAGGTTAAGTGTATTCTGCATTTTTATTACAATGTTGTGTTAATTTAAATGTCCATTAAATATTGTTTTCAATAACACCGACTAATAACGTATATATTACACTTTTATGTGATGAAAAAAACACCATGACATTTATTCATTATTTATGAATAAATCGTTATTGGTATATAATTATTAACTGATTTAATGAGGAACAAAACATAATAGTCCGTCAAACATAATTTTGGCACCCGGTATTCACAATTATTTTTCATTAAACACATAATCATATGACGGAAGTTGGTCATTATCAAATAATAATCATTGTCCTAACTAGATGTATACCAGTATGTACAAAAATATTTTCTTCATTGTTATCCTTTAATTTTGTGTCCGTCAACATGGCCTTGTGATGAGAGTTGGGGTATAAGAACAGACGATTTAATGTCTCACAACATATACTTTAGTATTTGTTATCCTCAAGTCGCATTTACGACACGCATTGCTACTTGTTAACACAAAGTTAGTACGTCTAAATACAATTTAGCAAGCCTTGAAAGGTTTAGCTCTATTGCACAAGCCACAATAATGTCGTCACAATGCACATTGAAAGCATTTGCTTCATCTTAATCGGCTGTAGAGAAGTCACAGCTCTCTGTTGTCTTAGTGTTTTCTGCTGCAAATGTATTCCCATTCATGCTTTGAATATTGAATTAAAATAAATAAAAGCAACAAGAAGAATTATCGGCTAAGATAAAGAGCTTAATGTACGGTTCCGGGAAGACCATAAGCATGTGTTTATAAATCAAACTTTGATCAATGCATTCGTTGTAAAATACTAACAAGTATTAAATGTAATTGATATTCAATCCCAATATGTAATAATATGTACATTTTACATTACAGGAAGTCGTCAAATCACAAACCAAGGTAATATAGGTAATATTGCCACAGGTGATAACCACAGCGGGAATATGGCTGCCTTAGTCGGTGGCCAACCTGCAGCTGGTGGCACAAGAGGTAAGGCTTGTCAAGGACGTATCTTTATTGTTTGTTGTTTAACGCCGCACTCAGCAATATTCCAGCTATATGACGGCTGTCTCTAAATAATCGAGTCTGGACCAGACAATCCAGTGATTGACATCATGAGCATCGATCCACGCTATTGGGATGCGATGACATGCATCAACCAAGTCAGCGAGCCTGACTACCCAATCCCGTTAGTCGCCTCTAACAACATAGACAACATAATCGCCTTTTACGGCAAGCATTGGTTGCTGAAGGTCTATTCTACCCCGGATCTTCACGGGTCTACAGGACAGATCTCTATTGTATTACAGCCGAAATTCATGTATTCATTATTTTTATATTTTACACTGTTGAACTTTTCTCAAATTCAATTGTAACACGTTTGCTTTAATAAACACATGGTATAAAGGATATATATCCTTGTGCGATTACTATTGTGGGTATTCAATGGTGTGTTTATCAAACTGGTTTCTTTTATAAATCTTCAGGTAAATGGTTCTAATGAATACAATGTACTCATGATAATACTTGTGGCATCGGGAGACATATCTGTAATCGACATTATCCATCTTGAACAGATCCTAAAGCACTCACCCCAGGAGAACTGATAAACCTTCTGAGGGAGCGCCACTGCACTGAGGACACAATTAAGAGTTTTGAGACACATATTGTTGACGGGCGATTGTTCATGGACCTAGATGATGAATTTCTTGTCGATCTTGAGATTAACAGCAGGATAGAACAAAGGAAGCTCAAGTGTTTAAAGGAAGACCTCATTCAGTGAACTTGATTTACATTACCAAAGAAGCAAGTGAGTAACTGTGTTCGCCTTCTCGCTGTGGATACACTTCGCAGTGAATAGGAAGGTTTGCAAACATTAGTCCTCATAGTAAATTGTATTTTGTACTATTCAAACATTAAATAATACACTTGCATTTCTGCTGCTGTGTTGTGTTTGTTTGTCAATGCTTATGAGCCCTCGGGAGATTACAACTTGTGGGCTAGCTGGCCGTGTCCTCGCATGCCAACAATTTGAATGACTTTCGCATTTATAGAAAAAGTACTCAAATGATCAACACCGGGAAATCAAAACACATATGAACTTCATCCCTTAAAACCAATGACATGCGATTCTATTCTTAATTGCTGACATCGAAACAAGATCACTTTTGTGTTGCTTTGATTGTTTAGGTGTATCAATTGACTTATTTATCTTCAATTCCTCAGGAAAAGCTTCCTGGTGCGTCCGAAACATATTCGTCGGTCTCTGTATAAAAACTTCTGAGCCATCGTGTTTGCGAATTCATGATGCATACTGATGCAACAAGGATGGGTTGCTGAAGATCGTTGCCACGTTGGCCACCGTCTGGTTCAGACTTGAATGGGTGATGGTCGATATTGGACGAATTCCGTCACGAGTTATTGTAATATTCGTTGTCAGATTTATCAGATTGTGTTTAAGCTTAGGTTATCTTTGATTGGTTTTATTCTGCTTTTAGGTTACATCCAAACACCGGAAATACAAGTTGTTATTGACCGAGGGTTGTTTTTCTGACATGATGCATGTAGAGGTTATCGTGAAATTATGATGCCATTATCGATCTTTCACCCAACTTCGTACATCCGTTTCAGTGGGTAATACAACATATGACATAAAACCTTGTGTTGTTTCACATATTGTTTTTTTTAAATATTTATTCACACATGCTCCCCTGAGCATATTAAAAACACATTGATATCGGTTATTACTTACATATTGACGAGTTTCAAGTTGCAAAAAACTCTTCTTTTATTTAAAATCTCTGTATTGTCCTTTACATATGTATTTATAATAACAAAGTTCGTGGAAACATTACACTTTTCAATAACAATGACTTCCGATGGATCTATTTATAATGATTACGTTGATACCCCGGCTCAGTAGTAGTCAGCAATGGATTCGTAAGCATGGGACCTGAGATATGGTCTATTTTAAGTTTTTTTTGTATCGCCATGGCTGCAATATCGACTATAGCGTATTTTAACACGCTGTACATAACAATAGTGAATGATATCGATTATTTCATGAATTATGATTGCAGCCCTTGAGAAACATGGATGTGTATTTGTAGTTGAAGATAACATCCTAGGGCGACAGAATGTACAAAGTATATTTTTGTATAAGGCCTTGGCCAATGCACAAAGAAATGAACAAAAAAGGTTCCACCTACATAAGTTTCTAAATTTCGTGGTTCTCAAGTACTCACAAAGGGCACTTCACACTCGAAAATTCTCTAAATTCGACCCGTGAAGATCTGGGATAGAATAGTTTTTCACCAACCCATGCTTGCTGTAAAAGCCGACTATGCTTGTAAAAGGCGACTAACGGGATCAGGTGGTCAGGCTCGCTGACTTGATTGATGCATGTCAGCGATCCCAAATGCGTAGATCGATGCTCATGATGTCAATCACTGGATTGTCTGGTCCAAACTCGATAATTTACAGACCGACGTCAAATAGCTGGAATATTGCTGAGTGCGGCGTTTAACAACAAACCAACCAACCAAATCATAAGAAACCTCTGCAACAAGCAGAGTCGATCATGAATCATATCAATATAACTTTAATACTATATCCTTTCACGCAACAACAGTTAGATAAACTTTCAAAACGCCTACACTGTTCAGCAGCCTTCATCTACTCAATGTGGGACAATGTGACTGATTTATTTATACCCTGCACGGTCATAGTGAGGGTTTTACAATGGATGAATGCATGTTCTCCCCGGGAAAGACTGAATTGGATCATTGTGAAGGGGACATATAAATATAGTGTTTTAAACCGTCTCATGGCGTTATTTCAGAACCTGCAGGTGAAAACATTTTGTCGAAGTTTTCAAACCAGCATTTCTGATTTCAACGACTTAAAACGACAATTTCTGAACCTATATCTACATCATCATATTGTTATGCACCACAATGGTATGCACGCAAAAAGGTAGCACCACAAAATATATGTCTTTTCTGTGTGGATTTTCATTGATACAAATCGATATTTCTGAATCGAGAAATACGTGCATCAATATATGTTACCCTTAGGGTTATAAAAATTCGATTCTAGAATACCAATATATATGACTGCCTCTTTCCTAAAATCACTTTTTCGTCTTGTGTCTTCCAAAAATGTAAGTGTCAAATAACCATCCATATATCGACAGCCAATCGCACGTAATTGGGAATCTAAGTAAGTGTATGTCAAAACGTTCATTCTGTTTGAAATCGTAAGAAAGCAGTTCAGCACTTTTACGTCTTTTTTCAGTTGGACCATCATTACCGGTCGTCGCCTCTTCTACACACCGGAGTGTTACTCAACAAATACAACTCGTGATAGAGCCACATTCAGAACAAGAGAAACACATTTGCATTGATAGTTCGTATCAAAAACAAATGCAAAAAACACAGCAGTGACTTCAAATAGATTACGTGGAAAGATTTCAGTGTCACTCTCTGTCTCGGATTACATACACTTAAAAAACCCAGTTAGGGATCATGAATCTTTTAGGGGACAGTGGGGATGTTTCTAAACAGGTACATCTCGTGATTGAGTCACATTCAACAGGGAAAAGACTTCTTGTTCGATTGGAGGTTTATAATCGCTTATCACTAAAATGATTTTATAGAAAGATATCAGTGTCATTATCAATCTCTCGTTATGCTGATTTCAAATATGCTCACCACTAAATTGAAATCGTCAACAAAAGGGCATTAATCAGTTTCCTTAAAGTTTCTGTTAGGATTTGGTTTGTTTGTTGTTTAACACCGCACTCAGCGATATTCAAGCTATGTGACGGCTTCTGTTATGAGCTCACATGTGATGAACCGACAACATCGATAGCGTTCACACAATAGGTGTACAGTCCGTTCCTAGTTTCAGTTCAATTCAATATCAATCAGGTAGTTGACACAAGCCTCACACACCGTTGTCCTATTCTGTCTGATATCAGCCTAAATAATCATAGGCTTTTTGTCACTTGAGACATGGTGTAAGGCAGTGATGACATCAGAATTGAAGTTAGAATTGTTTTTTATTGACACAACTCATGACGTTGCGTCATTTACGGAAGGTATTCTCCAGGAAAGTGGTTATAAATAGATCCATGTCAATATGTTAATATGTACTATCGGGTAGGTGACAGCAAGGCTCATTGCGTGAAGAGCCCTTCAGAAGCAAGGTAGGTTAACTTTCTTGTCATATATAGATCTGTGTTCTTTAAGTTGAAACTAATCCAACGGCTTTGATATAATAAGAAATTAAATGTATTCCGCTTGTGTGTAGCCATCATGTAGACACTTGGTCGTAGCCCAGTATATGTATTTCTGATCCAGTTTGTCAAAAGCGCAATACAGTTCGATAATGAAAAAAGCCATGATAGAAACAAGTTGAAATGTTGTCGCCTGTTCTGTATTGTGAAGTTGTATTGCTCATCATGTCTGTTTATCCTTGTTTATTCAGAATACAAAATGTCAAAGTATGATATTAAAGTCACGGGAGTTGAAGGCGGCACGGTGGAAAAGTCCAATGTTGCTGGTGTTGTCCACGGCGGGATGGGCAATAGCGTCACTACCACCCATAACCAAGGTAGACAACTCAAAAAAGATTCACAGTTAATAAAATAGTATTAAGTGCATTGTGTATTTTTATCACAATGTTGTGTTCATTGAAGTATCCATTGAATATGTTTTTCAACAACCCCGGTTTATACCATATATATTGCAGTTTAATGTGATTGAAAAAACATGACATATATTCATTTTTTAGGAATTAATTGTTATGGGTATATCGTTATTAACTCATTTAATGAGGAACAAAACATACTCTTTAAGGAGAGCTAAAGTCCGTCAACCATCATTTGGGCATCCGGTTTTCACAATTATTTTCCATTAAACACATAATCAAATGACAGAAGATGGCCATTATCGAATAATAATCATTGGCCTAACTAGATATACTAGTCCGAACAAAAATATTTTCTTCATTGTTATCCTGAATTTTGTGACCGTCAACATGGCCTTGTGATGAGGGATGGGTGCCCCAACAGACGATTTAATGTCTCACAACATATACTTTAGTATTCGTTATCCTCAAGTCGCATTTACGACACGCATTGCTACTTGTTAAGTCAACACAAAGTGAATTCCTCTTAATACAATTCAGCAGGCCTTAAAAGGTTTAGCTCTATTACACAAGCTACTTTCGTGTCGTCACAATGTACATTGAAATCATTTGCTTCGTCGCAATCGGCTGTAGAGAAGTCCCAGCTCTCTGTTGTCCCCAAAATTTAGTCGACTTCTAATGTGTTTTCTGCTGAAAATGTATTCCCATTCATGCTTTGAATATTAAATTATAATAAATAAAAGCAACAGTAAGAATTATCGGCTAAAATACAAAGCTTAATGAACGGTTCCGGGAAGACCATAAGCATGTGTTTATAAATCAAACTTTGGTCAATGCATTCGTTGTAAAATACTAACAAGTATTAAATATAATTTATATTCAATCCCAATATGTAATAATATGTACATTTTACATTACAGGAAGTCGTCAAATCACAAACCAAGGTAATATAAGTAATATTGCCACAGGTGATAACCACAGCGGGAATATGGCTGCTTCAGTCGGTGGCCAACCTAAGGCTGGTGGCAGAAGAGGTAAGGCTTGTCAAGGACGGATCTTATTTGTTTGTTGTTTAACGCCGCACTCAACAATATTCCAGCTATATGACGGCGGTCTGTAAATAATCGAGTCTGGACCAGACAATCCAGTGATTGACATCATGAGCATCGATCCACGCAATTGGGATGCGATGACATGCATCAACCAAGTCAGCGAGCATGACTACCCGATCCCGTTAGTCGCCTCTAACGACAACATAGTCGCGTTTTACGGCAAGCATGGGTTGCTGAAGGTCTATTCTACCCCGGATCTTCACGGGTCTACAGGACAGATCTCTCTTGTATTACTGCCGAAATTCATGTATACATTATTTTGATATTTTACACTGTTGACCTTTTCTCAAATTCAATTGTAACACGTTTGCTTTTATAAACCCATGGTATATAAGATATATATCCTTATGTGATTACTATTGTGGATATTCAACGGTGTGTTTGTCAAAATGGTTTGTTTTAAAACCTTTAGGTAAATGGCTTCTTATGAGTATAATGTACTCATGATAATACTTGTGACATCGAGAGACATATCTGTAATGGACATCATTCACCTTGAACAGATCCTAAAGCACTCACCCCAGGAGAACTGATAAACCTTCTGAGGGAGCGCCACTGCACTGAGGACACAATTAAGAGTTTTGAGACACAAAAGGTTGACGGGCGATTGTTCATGGACCTAGATGATGAACTTCTTGGCGAACTGGGGATTAACAGCAAGATAGAACAAAGGAAGCTCAAGTGTTTAAAGGAAGACCTCATTCAGTGAACTGGATTTACATTACCTAAGAAGCAAGTGAATAACTGTGTTCGCCTTCTCGCTGTGGATACACCTCGCAGTGAATAGGAAGGTTTGCAAACATTAGTCCTCATGAAATATAAAATAAGCCAATTTCGTTTAGTAAATTGTATTTTGTACTATTCAAATATTAAATAATACACTTGCATTTCTGCTGCTGTGTTGTGTTTGTTTTTCAATGCAAATGAGCCATCGGGAGATTACAACGTGTGGGCTAGCTGGTCGTGACCTCGCATGCCAACAATTTGAATGACTTTCGCATTTATAAAAAAAAGTACTCAAATGATCAACACCGGGAAGTCAAAACACATATGAACTTCATCCCTTAAAACCAAGCGAATGCGATTCTATTCTGATTTGCTAACAAAATCCCTTTTTGTGTTGCTTTGATTGTTTAGGTGTATCAATTGACCCATTTATCTTCAATTCCTCAGGAAAAGCTTCCTAGTGCGTCCGAAACATATTGTCTCTGTATAAAAAGGCCATCGTGTTTGCGTATTCAAGATGCATATACTGATACAAGCATGGGTTGCTGAAGGTCGTTGCCACGTTGGCCACCGTCTGGTTCAGACTTGATTGGGTGATCGTCCATATTGGACGAATTCCGTCACGAGTTATTGTAATATTCGTTGTCAGATTATCAGATTGTTTAAGTTTAAGCTTAGGTTATCTTTGATTGTTTTTATTCTGATTTGAGCTTACATCCAAACACCGGAAATACAAGTTGTTAATGACCGAGGGTTGTTTTTCTGACATGATGCATGGAGAGTTTATCGTGAAATTATGATGCCATTATCGATCTTGCCCCCAACTTCGTACATCCGTTTCAGCGGTTGATACAACATATGACATAAAACTTTGTGTTGTTTCACATATTGGTTTTTTAAAATATTTATTCACACATGCTCTTCTGAGCATATTAAAAACACATTGATATTGGTTATTTCTTAAATATTGACGAGTTTCAAGTTGCAAAAAAACTCTTTCTTTTATTTAAAATCTCTGTGTTGTCCTTTACATATGTATTTATAACAACAAAGTTCGTGGAAACGTTATTCTTTTCAATAACAATGACTTCCGATGGATCTATTTATAATGATTACTTTGATACCCCGGCTCAGTAGAAGACAGCAATGGATTCGTAAGCATGGGACCTGAGATATGGTCTATTTTAAGTTGTTTTTGTATCGCCATGGCTGCAATGTCGACTATAGCGTATTTTAACACGCTGTACTTTACAATAGTGAATGATATCGATTATTTCATGAATTATGATTGCAGCCCTTTAGAAACATGGATGTGTATTTGTAGTTGAAGATAACATCCTAGGGCGACAGAATGTACAAACTTTTTCGGTATATGTCCTTGAAGGTTCATCTAAATCTGGAACACATTTTCATAGGTACAAGGATGTAATAATCTAGTCCATATTGATCCATACTTAGTTTCCATACAGCTCAAACTTTTAAAGTACAAAATATTTATTTCATGTAATATCCCGAACAGTGTCAATCAAAGAATCAATATATCAATTATATTTTTGTATAAGGCATTGGGCCAATGTACAAAAGAAATAAACAAAAATGGTTCCACTTTGGTAAGTTTCTAAATATCATGGTTCTCAAGTATACACATAAGAGGCACTTAATACTCGAAAATTCTCGAAATTCGACCCGTGAAGATCCGGGGTAAAGGCGCCTATGCTTGTCGTTAGAGGCGACTAACGGGATCGGGTGGTCAGACTCGCTGACTTGGTTGATGCATGTCATTTACCTGTACCGATGCTCATGATATCAATCACTGGATTGGCTGGTCCAGATTCGATTATTTAGACAGCCGTCATATAGCTGGAATACTGCTCAATGCGGTGTTAAACAACACATATACAAACAAATAAACAAATCATATGTTTAATAGAAAATGTGACTTTAACCTAATAACATTACAAATTTATTCATGATATAAAGGTGCTTGCGTATGATAAACGTCAATTGAAACGTACGATTGATGTGAATATTGTTGTGGGTTTATTTCCATTCAGAACAGAGTTCAAGTAGCATCACGTGGTCTTGAAAGGAAAGCAACATCTGAGTCACAATTATTTTGTAACCCGGAAGCACTGTTATGGTTCTGAGAAACAAAGGATCAGGGCGCTACTTTTTTTTAGACAACTGGGATATCTGCATATGACTATGTAATGAAAACATTTTTTCCAAAAATCTAAATGTGCATTGTAGTACTTTTTGTAATACAATAGAATACTTTTTCATGCCTGATGCTGAATATACAATTAATATAACTGGTGCTATAGCACGGTCGGCAAAATGGACAAAGGTGTGTGGAAAATATCAACATCATCTCATCTACGTTATATATTATGACATGTATTATGTTGATATTTCTATAACGAATAAGGTATATTCTCACTGACTTAATGTATTCAGATACAAGACTGACTGATCTCTTCAACTTTCGTTTGTATGGTATCGCTGAATGGGATAATGAGAGCACAGAACATGCATTCAATGTAAAGGACATTTCTTGTCATGCATATCTGACTGAAGTGAAGGTGTCACTGAGTCGTGATGTTTTCATGCACTATACTATTCTGAGTTAAATTCTCGGTTCAAAAGATTTCTGATTCTCCACAGAAAGGTCAGTGGGCATACATTAGGAAGTGTTTAATGACATTTACGTTCCCATTTTCCTTCACAAGATGTGAACACGTTGTCTCAGAAGTAGCAAAACACTATATGGAGTTATGCCCCTTCGTCAAATTTGCTAATCGTAGGTTCGACCTCCACGTTGGACCCTGTCAAATTGGTAATATCCACAACAGTTTTTGATGATACGTCATGATGTAACTGACATACTTTTCAATGTGGTAAAACTCATTCAATCACAGTACATAATGATGTACTAAAACTCAGATTCGACGTTCAATAATAAGAACATACACAACGAAACTTGATTCCTCGCAGCAAGGTGTAAGTCAGTTAATGTGCCTGGCAATATTTTTATGGTCTTGTATTTGACATAGATAACACATAACTACACATATACTTAAGTAACACATAAGGCAAAAACTACTTGATGTAAGACATAGAGGACGTCATAAAGGCGCATTATAACATGACAGCCTGTGACATATTATTACAGTGTGACAGAGAGGCCGTTATCAGGCTTTGGGTAACATTGGACGCATGCGCAGGAAGCATACATGTTTTGATTTAATTTAGTTTCTTAAACCCCTAAATCTAATTTCCTTAAGTCACATCTGTCTCATCACCCCTCTGGCTTGATGAGAGAGTTATTTGTGGCACTTGCGCTAAGTGAACCTCAGTTGTACTAATGAGACCTACAATGATCCTAGTTTTAATACATATAAAACCAAATGAATAATGTAACACAATGAGGGCTTTTAATAAAAAAAATGAATAATTGATTACTTTCAAACATTCACAGTCCAACCTAAGAATTTCCTTCCCAGCGTCATTGCCATTCGTATTTCAAGTGACACCACATGTGTAATTGTGTAAAACATACACCATCATTTCACTTCTGAAAAAAACCGATCCCCACCGGACAATGAAATATAAATTCCGTGTCAGCTAACGTTTGTTTCTGTATACATAAAACCTCGTTTACCTGAAGTACCCACCCACAAGGTTATGTCCAACTTTCAACGGTATGAAAATAATCGAGTCTGGACCAGAAAATCCAGTGATTGACATCATGAGCATCGATCAACGTAATTGGGATACGATGACATGCATCAACCAAGTCAGCGAGTCTGACCACCCGATCCCGTTAGTCGCCTCTTACGACAAGTAGAGTCGCCTGTTACGGCAAGCAGGGGTTTCTGGAGACCTATTCTACCCCGAATCCTTGTAGGTTTATGTGACCGATACAAGTTAATGTCAAATGATGATGTTTTGTTGTGAGCAACTTGAATAGGATCTTCTTTAACTCCAGACATTTAGAGAAAATAATTTTAACACCCCCTTCTCTATTTAACAATCATCAACCTTTCAGTGCAAGAGGATGTTATTGATATATGTATTCCAGTACCGTCATGGTTAGACAGATACTCAATGTGTGATTAACTCACGCCAACAAAACCGGAAAATTATTTATATCATGTACAACATATGTGCATAATAACAGATTCAATCTACCCTGTTAATGTATGTTTATACATACTGGTCTAAATATATAAACACTTCATTTCCTTTTACGCGCAATGGATCCGTTTAGGGAGATATATATAGTTCTGAAGCTTTTCCCAACCTCAATGTAAAGCATTGTATGTTTGAAGACCACTTCTCTTTCAAACAACCAGTCTATTCTTCTATTGGCCATGATATTTATATACTCATTTACAAAGGACAAACAAATTACTGGTAGTTTTCGTTCAGTAAGCACGCGATAAGGCCTTATCTATAAAGACGATTCATTTAAGCGTAAAAGGTTTAATGGAAAATTTACGTTTTTTCGTGTGACCGACACACCTTCTATCATTCACGCAGCAAAACCGACATTCCATAAATGATGATAACTTACTATCTGGTTTCTCTGAATGTAGGGACTCAGGTGTTAAAATATGTCCTCGGTTCTCGGTACAAGTGAAGCATTGAAAAACCAACATTTCTGATTCTGTATCTCACAATGAATTAAAACGACAAGTTTCCGAATGTATTCAAGCGTCAACACAATGCTGTGCACATTCCCGAGGAACTCAATGAATGGGTTAATCGACACAACCGAACGGGCTCTGGGATTGACATGCACAATGCGTTACCTCATATAATGTGAAAGTGTATGGACTTATACAGATAAAATGTAAGCATACACAAAGTTTACCGTGTTAGTATTTAATGGATAACATACAGCAAAGTGAAAGTCAGTTAATGTGCCATAACATAAACATAAATTTAAATCCACGTCACGTGCACGAAACTAAAAATAAGTCCATGTCACAAAAAATCAATAATTTCAGTACACAGACTACCGTCATATCACTAGAGTTACAAATACCCAAGCGGCCAGGATATTCGTTACGCAAAAGGTAATGCTTTATTTCATTAGTAACTCAGCTCAATTAAATGAGGAGGCCTTTATTAAGGAGTTGAAAGAGAGAACAATTTAAGAATATATCATAACCGATGTGGTTTTGATTGACATATAGTTTTGAATGTTTGAATAAACGACAGCTTATTCCAAAGCGGACACTAATTGTTAACTTTCGTTTGTAATGTTATTAGGGTATGCAGGTTGGCATTTTGATTAGTACTTTGTTGATGGATTATTTATTTCCATACTAAAACCATCTGTATTTACTCTTATTGAAGAACATGTAACTTCAACATTATCGGCACACCAATGTAATGAGTTGATACATGTTAGGTGCCACAGTGTTGGACATATAAATCACCTTTTGCAGGTCAAATCTACTTCGGAATAACCAGGTGTTAGTACAGTCTGGAAATGGTGTATACCACTGTGGTTATAATGTGTGTGTTCTGTTTGATTACAGGTTGAACAATGGAAACAATTGAAGTGACAGGGGTAGACGGAAATGCTAAGGTGAAAAACTCAACAGCGGTTGGGATTCAAAGCAGTGGCGGAGAACTTCCATCACAGATAGGTATACATTGTTTCTATATCTGTAATTTTGTTCTCACCTTTTCAATTACGGCAATTGTTTATTCATATTTACTTTTCACATGAACACTTTAATTCTTCGTTCGTTCGTTTGTTGTTCAACGCCGCACTCAGCAATATTCCAGCTATATGGACTGTAAAAAATCAAGTCTGAACCAGACAATCCAGTGATTTGCATTATAAGCATCGATCCACGCAATTGGGATATGATGATATGAATCAACCAGGTCAGCGAGCCTGTTCACCCGATCCCATTAGTCACTTGTCGTAAATGGTCACTGTATGTTGGTAATACTATGTGTTGGGCTACTGAAGTATATCACCTTCAAATGTGTGATGTTGTCATTGTTAGAATGCACAAATTCAAAAAGAGGAAAACAATGAACCCATTCTGTCTCAGCCAGCTGCCATACTTAAATAGTTTCTAGGCGTTCCCACTATCAAGGCTTTAGATAGCATAACAATATATGTGAAGGTCTTTACATTATTGTGTGATCAAAGGATTTCGAACAAGTAACATATCATATCATAGCACTTTTATTTCAGGTTATAAAATGGGGCGGCCGGGTAGCCTAGTGGTTAAAGCGTTCGCTCGTCAGGCCGAAGCCCCGGGTTCGATTCCCGACATGGGTACAATGTGTGAAGCCGGTTTTCTGGTGTCCCCCGCCGTGGTATTGCTGAGATATTGCTAAAAGCGGCGTAAAACCATACTCACTCATTCACTCAGATTATCAATTGTATTAACATTTTCCTTCATTAGGTTGTGCATATATTCATGAGAAATGTTTAATATATTCACCAGGTATCAAGAAAATGAAAGTGACGGGTGTCAAGGGTAATGCTGAGGTATACAATTCTGTCGCTACTGGCATTGATAACGGCAAAATGGGATCAATTGGTGAGTTTATGGATTCACGAAAACACATCATCCTACATTAATAGGCAAATATGGTTGGTCGTTCATCGATCACATATATCTAATGAAATCAAGAAACGTTATTCCTTTTGATATTGAATTTGACAATTTACTCAATCGAGGCTAATATGGTTGGCCTTGAATCCATCACATGTAGCAAATAAAATCAAGAAACACAATCTAATTTGATATCGAATTTAACAATTAACTGAATTGGTTTCCTATCTCAACACGTTGATCTCACTATCGACATCAGTTACGTATCATTTCAGAAAACAGACAGCAAACGTACAATATTGAAAATGCCCACGGCGTCGTAGTTGGGCAGGACATGCGAGGCGCAACTGTGGATCAAGGGGGAATCACAGGGCAAAGATCAGGACCCAAGACATACTTCGAAGGAAAAGGTAAATTACTGTTAATCATCTGTGTTACATGAAACTTTGAACAGCTTATCTATCATTTCATGATCAATACTTCATTGATAGCCGAAATATGATAAGCTATGATCTTTGCGGAAAAGCTCAAACGTTTCCAAAACAAAATTCTGCACCCGTATTTATTTTAACTATGAATATGAAAATGAATCATGTTTACTTCTGCACTATAAATAAGTTTCCTTCAAAATGTATTCATAGATGCTCCTGAGACGGAATGCTATTAATACAGAATCACTGATCTTAAAGAAACACACTTCTCATAAATCGTTTATAAGAAAACTGATAAACAGTATTTTTTAACCGGCACCACAGTGAGATACTGTTTCATTGTGTAACATGAAAACCATCAGAGAGCTTCAACGTGACATAACGTGTGGGTTTGGGCTTTTATTATGAAATATATTTACTACTAAGTTTGCATTCCAGCTCTTTCGGACATCTCTGAGGTGGACATTATTGGTCTCCTACATGAGAAGAAGCTAGAGAAACACATTCCACTGTTCCAGACACATGGCATTGATGGTGATTTATTGTCTCAGCTCGACGAGGATGAACTTAAAGCCTTTGGCATTGACGACTCGTTTGAAAAGAAGAAAATACTGAATCTGAAGAAATGTCTTCCAAAATAATATATAATAGCACAATCTTATGGACAATTTAATAATCATGTGTAATGCACTGCCGTGCCGATGCTATGCATGCCAATATGAATTATCTGATGGCTGCTCACTGTATTTAGATCCACAGACACTTCCTTTATCATTTGAACCGTAGTTTTAGCATTGCATAATTTTATCATCCATTATAACATAATAAACATTGAATTTGACAACAGTGTTGTTATATGGAACATGAAAGTTCTGAGAATAAGGAAACAACAACAATCATCTCATCCCCCTTCTACGAATAAGAAAACAACAGTCATATCATCCACCTTCTCATTCGTATTCATGGAAAAAATACTTTTGCAAATTAAGATCGATTATTTGTAGAAAATAGAAACTGCAGTGTATGTTTGGGTGCATAAGTAATGCTAAAACTGTGATATGTTATAATAATTACTAGACTTTTATTGCAATTTATTATCCAAAACTGATAAATCTCACACTCATGTCTTTTGATATAAATTATATCAACACTCGTTTTCCACTTTCATCAATTTGTGTTGATAAATTTGATATCAAAAGACACTCTTGTGAGATTATCTTTATCTTAAGATTTTGATAAGTGTGTTCCCTATTTGTTGAGTTGTCTGTATTGTATGTGAAAATTACATATTGGAGAAGTTCTTCATCACTAGGGGGGTTGGGGGGTGGGGGCACTTTGTTAATTAGGGGGCACGGGTGGCCCAGTCGTCTAAGGCCCCGCGATTCGCTGTGCAGAGTTGCGTCCCTTGGGCACGCCAGAAACCTATGATTGTGAGTTTGAATACCGGTTCGCCCCGATTATGTTTCTAGGTTTGTCAGCACCATACCCGTGCTCGTGGGTTTCACCGAGGTGGTAAACGTCTGAAACCTGCATCACTTCGGGCTTTCCTCCCACATTAAGCTGACACACCGTGATATAACTGGAATACTGTTAAAAGCGGCGTTAAACACAACTCACTCTCATTCTTCATCCGTGGTCCAAATATTTCGAGTAAACGTGGTCTAAATTGTATTCCACAGTTGGTTGCAAAACGAATACACGCTTTACACTTTTTCCTTTACTTATAAGCAAAAGAATCTCTGTACTGGTACAAATTAGGCTTAATTTCATTTTCTTAACGGATCGGTTTTCTGATTCATCTATCACTTGATTGTCTGGCCTGTTTTCAGGCTGCCGTTGCATGGCTGTGCGGCATCAGGTAATGAATGCTTGCTTGTTTATGCAACTGGTGTGAATGCCACTGGACATGCTTACCCTTTTTGAGAATACCTGGTGTCATCACTGATTTTCACTAGTCCATTCATAAAACTGTCACAGCTATTTTGCCCTTATGCCAAGTGGAATCTGTTTCGGTGGATATTCAACACTGGTTATTCTCCTTTGCATTGACATTGTACATTTACATATTCTATGCACCTCCTGGTTACTTCCTGGTTACTGACTAAGTTCATATAATACTGGTTAAAAAAGATTTCATCAAGGTTGTTTGTTTATGTGAATAAAAGCGACAAAACCCTTTCCATATTCATGAGAAATCTCTGCCACAAGCAATGTCGATCATGAATCATATCAATTCGTGTCCAATGTTGAAGATTTGTTGTGAATAACTTTAATAATATCTCTTTTCACTCAACAACAGTTAGAGAAGCTTTCAATACACCTACACTATTCAAAAGCCTTCAACTACTCAATGTGGGACAATGTGACTGATTTATTTATACCCTTCACGGTCAGAGTGAGGGTTTTGCAATGGATGAATGCATGTTCTCCCCGGGAAAGACTGAATTGGATCATTGTGAAGGGGACATATAAATATAGTGTTTTAAACCGTCTCATGGCGTTATTTCAGAACCTGCAGGTGAAAACATTTTGTCGAAGTTTTCAAAACAGCATTTCTGATTTCAACGATTTAAAACGACAATTTCTGAACCTATATCTACATCATCAAATTGTTATGCAACACAATGGTATGCACGTCAAAAAGGTAGCACCCCGAAAGACATATGTCTTTTCTGTGTGGATTTTCATTGGTACAAATCGATATTTCTGAATCGAGAAATACGTGCATCAATATATGTTACCCTTAGGGTTATACAAATTCGATTCTCGAACAACCTGGCTATTAAATGTATCACTGCCTCTTTTCTTAAATCACTTTTTCGTCTTGTGTCTTCCAAAAATGTCAGTGTCAAATAACCATCCAAATATCGACAGCCAATCAAACGCAATTGGGAATCTAAGTCAGTGTATGTCAAAACGTTCATTATATGTGACATCATAACAAAGCAGTTCAGTACAACTCGAGATAGAGCCATATTCAAAACAAGAGACAAAAAAATCCATTTGTAGTTCGTATCAAAAACAAATGCAATAACACAGCAGTTACTTCAAATAGATTTCGTGGAAAGATTTCAGTGTCACTATCTGTCTCGGATTACATAAACAGTTAGGAATCATGAATCTTTCAGGGGACATTTGGAATATTTTTAAACAGGTACAACTCGTGATTGAGTCACTTTCAACAGAGAAAAGACTTCTCGTTCGATTGGAGGTTTATAATCGCTTATCACTGAAATGATTGTGTAGAAAGATATCAGTGTCATTATCAATCTCTCGTGATGCTGATTTCAAATATACTCACCACTTAATTGAAAGCGTCAACAAAAGGGAATAATCAGTTTCCTTAATGTTTCTGTTATGATTTGGTTTGTTTGTTTGTTGTTTAACACCGCACTCAGCAATATTCCAGCTATACGACGGCTTCTGTTATGAGCACACATGAGATGAACCGACAACATCGATAGCGTTCACACAATAGTTGTACAGTCCGTTCCTAGTCAATACTAAACGTCTGCAATTCAATATCAACCAGTTGGTTGACACAAGGCTCACACACCCTTGCTCTTTTCTGCCTGATATAAGCCTAAATAATCATATGCTTTTTGTCATTTGAGACATGGTGTAAGGCAGTGATGACATCAGACTTGAAGTTAGAATTGTTTTTTATTGACACAACTCATGACGTTGTGTCATTTACGGAAGGTATTTTCCAGGAAAGTGGTTGTAAATAGATCCACGTCAATATGTTAATATACAATGACGGGTATGTGATAGCGAGGCTCATTGCATGAAGAGCCCTTCAGAAGCAAGGTAAGTTAACTTTCTTGTCATACACTGATCTGTGTTTTTTAAGTTTAAACGTATCCAACAACTTTGATATAATAAGAAACTATATGTATTCCGCTTGTGTGTAGCCACCATGTAGACACTTGGTCGTAGCCTAGTATGTGTTTTTCTGTTCCAGGTTGTCAAAAGCGCAATACAGTTCGACAATGAAACGCCATGATAGAAACATGTTGAAATGTTGTCGCCTGTTCTGTACTTGTGACGTTATATCGCTCATCATGCCTGTTTGTCCTTGTTTATTCAGAAAACAAAATGTCAAAAATCACAGCTACGGGAGTTGCAGGCGGCACGGTGGAAAAGTCCAATGTTGCTGGTATTAACTACGGCGAGATGAGCAATACCACCCATAACCAAGGTAGTCAACTCAAAAAGTTCACGATTAATAACATAGGTTTAGTGTATTATGCATTTTTTTATTACAATGTTATGTTCATTGAAATGTCCTTTAATTATTGTTTTCAATAACACCGACTAATAACGTATATATTGCACTTTAATGTGATGAAAAAAACAACATGACATGTATTCATTATTTATGAATAATTCGTTATTGGTATATCATTATCAACTGATTTAATGAGGAACCATCATTTTGGCACCCGGTATTCACAATTATTTTCCATTACACACATAATCATATGACGGAAGTTGGCCATTATCGAATAATAATCATTGGCCTAACTAGATATACCAGTCCGAACAAAAATATTTTCTTCATTGTCATCATGAATTTTGTGACCATCAACATGGCCTTGTAATGAGGGATGGGTGCCACAACAGCCGATTTAATGTCTCACAACATATACTTTAGTATTCGTTATCCTCAAGTCGCATTTACGACACGCATTGCTACTTGTTAAGTCAACACAAGGTTAGTACCTCTAAATACAATTCAGCAGGCCTTAAAGATTTAGCTCATTGAAAGCATTTGTTTCGTCGCTATCGGATGTAGAGAAGTCCCAGCTCTCTGTTGTCCCCAAAACTTAGTCGACTACTAATGTGTTTTCTGCAGAAAATATATTCCCCTTCATGCTTTGAATAATGAATTATAATAAATAAAAGCAACAAGAAGAATTATCGGCTAAGATAAGGAACTTAATGTACGGTTCCTGGAAGATCATGAGGATGTGTTTATAAATCAAACTTTGGCCAAGGCATTCGTTGTAAAAAACTAACAAGTATTAAAAGTGAATTATATTCAATCCCAATATGTAATAATATGTACATTTTACATTCCAGGAAGTCGTCAAATCACAAACCAAGGTAAAATAGGTAATATTGCCACAGGTGATAACCACAGCGGGAATATGGTTGCTTCAGTCGGTGGCCAACCTGGAGCTGGTGGCACAAAAGGTAAGGCTTGTCAAGGACGGATCTTAATTGTTTGTTGTTTAACGCCGCACTGATCAGCAATATTCCAGCTATACGACGGCGTTCAGTAAATAATCGAATCTGCACCAGGCAATCCAGTGATTGACATCATGAGCATCGATCCACGCAATTGGGATACGATGACATGCATCAACCAAGTCAGCGAGCCTGACCACCCGATCCTGTTAGTCGCCTCTAACGACAGCATAGTCGCCTTTTACGGCAAGCATGGGTTGCTGAAGGCCTACTCTACCACGGATCTTCACGGGTCTACGGGACAGATCTCTATTGTATTACAACCAAAATACATGTATACATTATTTTGATATTTTACACTGTTGACCTTTTCTCAAATTCAATTGTAACACGTTTGCTTTTATAAACACATAGTATATAAGATATATATCCTTATGCAATTACTATTGTGGGTATTCAACGGTCAAAATGGTTTGTTTTATAAATATTTAGGTAAATGTTTCTAATGAATACAATGTACTCATGATAATACCTGTGACATCGAGAGGCATACCTGTAATTGACATTATTCATCTTTAACAGATCCTAGAGCACTCACCCCAGGAGAACTGATAAATCATCTGAGGGAGCGCCACTGCACTGAGGACACTATTCAGAGTTTTGAGACACATAATGTTGACGGGCGATTGTTCATGGACCTAGATGATGAACTTCTTGTCGATCTTGAGATTAACAGCAGGATAGAACAAAGGAAGCTCAAGTGTTTAAAGGAAGACCTCATTCAGTGAACTGGATTTACATTACTAAAGAAGCAAGTGAATAACTGTGCTCGCCTTCTCGCTGTGGATACACTTCGCAGTGAATAGCTATAGGAAGGTTTGCAAACATTAGTCCTCATGAAATATAAAATAACCCAATTTCGTTTAGTAAATTGTATTTTGTACTATTCAAATATTAAATAATACACTTGCATTTCTGCTGCTGTGTTGTGTTTGTTTTTCAATGCAAATGAGCCCTCAGGAGATTACAACTTGTGGGCTAGCTGGCCGTGTCCTCGCATGCCAACAATTTCAATGACTTTCGCATTTATAGAAAAAGTACTCAAATGATCAACACCGGGAAATCAAAACACATATGAACTTCATCCCTTAAAACCAATGACATGCGATTCTATTCTTAATTACTGACATCGAAACAAGATCACTTTTTGTGTTGCTTTGATTGTCAAGGTGTATCAATTGACTTATTTATCTTCAATTCCTCAGGAAAAGCTTCCTGGTGCGTCCGAAACATATTCGTCGGTCTCTGTATAAAAAACTTCTGAGCCATCGTGTTTGCGAATTCATGATGCATACTGATGCAACAAGCATGGGTTGCTGAAGATCGTTGCCACGTTGGCCACCGTCTGGTTCAGACTTGAATGGGTGATGGTCGATATTTGTCGAATTCCGTCACGAGTTATTGTAATATTCGTTGTCAGATTTATCAGAATGTTTTTAAGCTTCAAATCTCAATCAAAATATTTTTTTCAAAAATGTAAATGTGCATTGTAGTACTTTTTGTAATACTATAGAATACTTTTTCATGACTGACGCTGAATATACAATTAATATAACTGGTGCTATAGCACGGTCGGCAAAATGGACAAAGGTGTGTCGCAAATATCAACATCATCACAGCTACGTTATATATTATGAGATGTATCCTGCCATGTATTATGTTGGTATTTCTATAACGAATAAGGTATATACCCATTTAACTAATGTATTAAGATACAAGACTGATTGATCTCTTCAACTTTCGTTTGTATGGTATCGCTGAATGGGATAATGAGAGCACAGAACATTCATTCAATGAAAAGGACATTTCATGCATATCTGACTGAAGTGATGGCGTCGCTGAGTCGTGATGTTTTCATGCACTATACTATATTAAATTCTCGGTTCAAAGGATTTCTGATTCTCCGCAGAAAGGCCACTCGGCATACATTAGGAAGTTTTTAATGACATTAACGTTCACATTTTCCTTCACAAGATATGAACACGTTGTCTCAGAAGTAGCAAAACACTATATGGAGTTATGCCCCTTCGTCAAATTTGTTAATCGTAGGTTTTGATGATACGTCATGATGTAATTGACATCCTTTTCAATGTGGTAAAACTCATTCAATCACAGTACATAATGACGTACTAAAAATCAGATTCGACGTTCAATAATAAGAACATACACAACGAAACTTGATTACTCACAGCAAGGTGAAAGTCAGTTAATATCCCCAGCAATAATTTTATGGTCTTGTATTTTGACAGAGGTAACACATAACAAACTATTGGATGTAAGACATAGAGGACGTCATAAAGGCGCCTTATAATATGACAGCATGAGACCTACAATGATCCTAGTTTTAATACTTATAAAACCAAATGAATAATGTAGCACAATTAGGGCTTTTAATAAAAAAATGAATAATTGATTACTTTCAAACATTCCCAGTCCACCCTAAGAATTTCCTTCTCAGCGTCATTGCCATTCGTATTTCAAGTGACACCACATGTGTAATAGTGTAAATCACAATCATTTCACTCCTGAAAGAATACGATCCCAACGGGACACTGAAATATAAATTCCATGTCAGCTAACGTTTGTATCTCTATACATAAAACCTCGTTTACCTGAAGTACCCACAAGGTTATATCCAACTTTCAACGGTCTGAAAATAATCGAGTATGGACCAGGCAATCGTGTGATTGACATCATGAGCATAGATCAACGTAATTGGGATACGATGACATGCATCAACCAAGTCAGCGAGTATGACCACCCGATCCCGTTAGTCGCCTCTTACGACAAGCATAGTCGCCTGTTACGGCAAGAATGGGTTACTGAAAACCAACTATCCCCGAATCTTCGTAGGTTTATGTAACCCATACAAGTTAATGCCAAATGATGATGTTTTGTTGTGAGCACCTTAAATAGGATTTTCTTTAACTCCAGACATTTAGAGGAAATAATTTTAACACCCTTCACTATTTAAACAATCAACAACCTTTCAGTGCTGGAGGATGTTACTCATCTATGTATTCCAGTAACGTCATGGTTAGACAGATCCTCAATGTGTGATTCACTTACTCCAAGAAAACAGAAAAAAAAATTGAAATCATGTACAATAAACTACCCTGTTTATGTATGTTATACATGCTGGTTTAAATATATAAACACTTCATTTCCTTTTACGTGGATCCGTTTAGGGAGATATATAGTGTTCAAAAGCTTTTCCTAACCTCAGTGTAAAGCATTGTATGTTTGAAGACCACTTCTCTTTCAAACAACCCGTCTATTGGTTGTTTTTGTTCAGTCAGCACGCGAAAAGACCTTATCTATAAAGACGATTCATTTAAGCGTAAAAGTTTTCATGGTAAATTTACATTTTTTCGTGTGACCGACACACCTTCTATCATACAAAACCAACATTCCATAAATGATGATAACTTGTTATCTGGTTTCTCTGAATGTAGGGATTCCGGTGTTAGAATATGTCCCAAGCAACTTTAGTTCTCGGTAGGAGTGAAGCATTCAAAACCAACATTTCTGATTCTGTGTCTCACAATGAATTAAAGCGACAAGTTTCCGAATGTAATCAAGCGTCAACACAATGCTGTGCACATTCCCGAGGAACTCAAATGAATGGGTTAATCAACACAACTAAACAGGCTCTGGGATTGACATGCACAATGCGTTACCTCAAATAATGTTGAAGCATATTGACTTATTCAGATAAAATGTAAGCATACACAAAGTTTACTGTGCCAGTATTTAATGGATAACATGCGGTAAAGTGTAAGTCAGTTAATGTGCCATAACATAAACATAAATTTTGATCCACGTCACGAAACTAAAAATAAGTCCATGTCACACAAAATCAATGATTTCAGAACACAGACTACCGTTACATCACTGACGTTACAGATACCCAAGCGTCCAGGATATTTTTTTCCCCAAAAGGTAATGCTTTATTTCATAAGTAACTCAACTCAATGGGCGATCTTTTTGTTCCAAAGGGCAATAACTCTCCTTTTGAAATGATATAAGCGACGGTCCAAACTGTCGCTTCCGGTCTGGTTCCCGGATCAATGCGCTACGAAAACTACTGACACGTAGAGACGGAGCCAAGCTAAAGAGTTATCCTGTTGCACCTTCGTTCAAAAACGGTCGTTTACAGCTGAATACTTTTAACAAGCACATATTTTGTAGTGATTATTAGTTTATATTATCAACATTTGTTGAGTCTATTAAGCACTCAGTTACTCAGTTGCAATAAACATACCAGTCATCATACTTTGAAATTAGAGATTTACACATATTATTCTGTCCCTTATAACATGTGTCTCACCATTAAGTGCTCTGGGTCATCACAGGTATTAATTCATTGATCCATCATTTCTTACAGAATTCTGATATTCATGCTCTTAAAATAGTAGTTAATTACAGAGATGTGTCTCAACAAACAACAAATCATACTGACTACCCCGCAAAATGGGTATGATGCCTAAATAGATCTAAATCATAGTTTTATCTTCTTGTTTTAGTAACATTATATTTTTTTTAATGTTGACAAATTATTTATCATACAAACCCACACACTATCCTGCTGTATCTAAGTATCCTGATTTTCACTCAACAGTACTTCAAGACACCTGTAGTATAAAGTATATATTGTAGATATTATCATCATATAGGAAATATGAATTTTATATGAAAATATGAATATGAAGGTTTATCATCAAATCTTCTGATGGTTAAATAAATGCAAATTGAACCCCACAGTAATTCCATGTAGATAAATGGATTTATTTATGTTATTTGTTCTTGCATATAACAGATACTTACATACGTTACAGTCAGTGTCTATAATCAGGCCCAATATGTATTTTGACTGAAAATATCAGTCAATATGCATATTGACTGATTCACTCAGGTAAGGTATATTTTTTCTTAAATTTCCATTAATTTATTATTGCCTGAAAAATAGGACCGGATTTTAGACAGACTGGCTGAAATGTATAAGACTGCATAATTTAATCTCCTCAATTTAATTTGGATCTATTTTGATCTTATCAAGATCAAAGTAACTTATGTAAGAAATTAAAAATGTTTTCACAATGAATTGATTGATTCTCTAAACCTAAAAGAGTCCCATTACTAGTACACATGCACAAGTGTGTCAAGATATTAAATAAAATAATAGTCATTGTGCAATGCAGATATATTTTGGTGTGAAGAGAAAAAAGAAAAACATTAATAATTTGTTTCTGTTGGAATTTGAAACAGTTTAGAACAAGGAAACATAAAAAGCAAGGCCTAATGAAGTTAAGAATCAGCTTTATCTGTGTCTCAATCGTATGATTATTGTCAATGCAACCTGGATGTAGACACTGCATTGTTAATACAATCAACATTATAGAGATTGGCAATTAGTATGAATATATTGTTTTATTTTATAAAAAATGTAATTGGTACAAATACTCTTGAATGTGTATTTTAGCTACTATATAGGGTCCTCTGTGTCTGAATTTTTTTTTTCTACTTTGTAAAATTAAAAAAAGGCCAAAATAATATATATATTTCATTGATCATATTGAAATATAATCATGGTAGTATTTGGCAACAAACAGCTACCATTCATATACATAAAATCCGTATACAACATGCACCAATTAACCCTTAAATATCAAAACAGATTTCAGTGATTTCTATTTCTTTTATTTTGAACATTGTATCATGATATCTAGTTGATGACGTAATTTTACAGTGCCTGTTACTCTTACAATTTCTTGAGAACATTTCTCATTGCTCTCAGTTATATATCTGACAAATACTTACATGTGTTGCTGTCAATATTAAAAACATTGAGGCTACGGGCAACGTTGCATGAGACCTTCACATTTCGCGTAACGTATCGCCTCACAGTTGTA